CTGGGAAAATCCTATAGACAGCCCTTTTCTATAGTATAAAAGTTGGCATTGAGATTAAATCATAGTTATAGTTAAATAGTTGAATCCGAGATGGCGCGCTGAAGTGCATTATTCGCAATTCTTAATATAATTGATTTCTTTCAAATAAAATTGCGAATCTTATTGATAGAATTGACAAAAGTTAGTTTACAATATGAATCAATTTAAACACGAAACCAATTTTGTAATTAATAATTTGATCCATCACGTAAACCAATTTTCCAAACCTTCCTACAACACGACATAAATAAAAAATGATGAAAAAACCATTGATTCATATTTGTATTCTGCTGTGCAACAAGCGTAAACTTCGTTTTTATTTTCTCACCCTGTTTTTACGCTCGCGCACACAAAAATAGTAGGTTACGACATTTTTTCTTGTGGTTATAATAATATAGTGGTAATAATAAGACGTTCGGAGTCTTGTCGTATTGCCGAGTCTGTTGGATTTCCCACATTGCCCGCATTTTCCCGCATTACGCACATGCTCTATAATAACAACGAATAAGAGAACATAACGCGCGGCGCATAAAAAGAAAATGATGGGGAAAATGAAAATAATACCGAGAATAATAGGATAAGAAAAAAAATCTGAAAAATAGAAACATCAAAATAAAAACTACATAAAATAACAGAACGTATAATAAAATATAAAACAAACACAAAATTAGATGAATTTAATAAATAAATTAGTAATTTCTTGTTTGAATATAACCAAAATATACTTAAAAAGAGTATAATATAAGTTACTTACGAAAAACATGAAATAATTCAAGAAAATGTGAAGGTAGATAAGAAAATGTATAAGAATGAAATTTCCGAGCATGATTCTCCAAGACCCGGCCATTTTACTAGCTGTAATGTACGTACAGCGCCATTTTTATGCGCTTTCATACTTTTATGCGCAATTTCGACTTGTACATTGCGTCCGTGCGTTCATGTTTGCATAAAAGATGAAAGTAAACATAAATGGAACACGTAAAAAATGTTTAGACTTCATTATAGTACAAAATACGAAGTGTTACAAACACTACAATTATTATTATCAAAAAACACATAAAATAATTTGTTTTAATAAAAAATATTATTTTTAACATCATAAAATACCATTTCTAAAAATAGGCAAAACATTTATTGAAAATAGATAAATAAGTTAAAAAGTTATTTTGTATTTTTTAATTTGCAAACAAATAAATTACAAATACACGATGCCTGTTTTCCATTGATTTTTATTACCAGCGGCCTTTCGACTGCGCTTTTGACTCGCTTGCTCTTCGCTTGCCCATTCAACACATCATCCTCACGCGCTAATTGGCTGGCTCGCAGTTGAATCGCGCAATTATACACGTCCGCCCGAATTCACACAACCACCAGCGCTGCGCTGCGCGATGATTGCATAATTTATAGGCGCTGCAACGCGCGTGGACTTGCATCCACTACCGCATTCAATTCATTGCTATGCAATTCGCAGAAATATGGAATGTGATATGCACTGATGCGACGTGATGCATTTTCATTACCTGCATGATACTCGATCTATGATTTTGCATTCAAATTTATGTTGTATACAATTACAATTCAAATAAAAATCTGTGTGTAAAAGCTGAAATCCAATTAACCTATACAACCAGTCATACAGCACTGGTTTACTTTGCTTGAGTATCAACTCAAAAGACTTACGCATTTTCAGCAGCGTGAAGGAAAAAAAAACACAGCGTTTGAGGTCGTTCGACGTCGTTTAGCGGCGATCTCATGTCCTTGAAGAGTGTGCGCCCGTACGCACACGCTGATTACCGAGGACGAGACGAAACGAGCAACGATGCGCTCTCCTTGAGATAAATGGCACATCAGCGCCCGCCGGGGCTGCCCTGATGGGATGTGCTCTGCGTAAACAACTCACGCATCCTCCTTTCGCCTTCCAAAAAACCCTTAGGTTACTATCACACAGGAAAAACAAGAAAACGAAGAAAAAAGCAAATGAAAAATTTCTTTTCACGTAAACGTATTGGATGTGCATAGTCTTTTTTAAATTATTTATCTTTTGGGATTAAAGTTTGAAGTTTTAGAGTATGCATATTGTACTTTTTGCTGGCGCATTCCTCGAAATCGTATTTAGGTTTTATCTCAGATTTCTCGCTTTCGAGGAAAGTTTCCCAGTTTCAGGAAGCTTTGTTTAGGGACGCGCAAACGGATGAAGGACGAAGGACGTCAGTAGGATCAGAAGCTACAGGCTGCTGTGGCCCAGTGTGGATCGATAACGATAGCTCGTTCACGGTTCACGTTCGCAATTTCGTTCCTTTCTTACTACAACTCCAACACCCTCAACGGCAATTGTGATGGATGGAAATGTCACATACAGTGTGTTTTTTTAAATAAAATTTTAAATAATAAAAAATAATTATTATTTTTCTATAAATCAAAAACTTTAATTTTTTTTTAATTTTTCAAATTTGTCAACACTCTGTATATTCCCCATCTGTATCTGTAAGTGTCGGTTCGGAGCGTGAGCACCGTTTCTGCTTAACAAGTTCGATATCGATCAGCTGAGGGGGTCGCGCTCGTGCTTGGCGTTTATACGCCGCCCCCCGAATCAATCAAACGCTGCCGCCGCCACCGCCGCCACCGCTGTTGCTTTTAATGCCTATAGATACGCCTCACTCGTACATTGCCTCTCCGCAGCCTTTGCCTCTCGTACATTTACATTTTCATTCGAGAGTGTTCCAAGTGCTGTTCGAATGGCTGTACAAATATGAACTGCCGCCACCTTCGCCGCCAGCAAGAGCCACGCGCGCACACACAAACACCACGCCGAGATACCCAGAAAGACGGCGAGATTAAATCTGACTAAAAAGTTTTTTTCCGTGCGCATTTATCAAAAAGTATCGAGCGCAGTGCCAAAGAAGGAGAAGAGTGCACTCGAAACTGCGAGATAAACGCAATCGGAGGAAAGTTTCAAACGAAACGCAAGTTCAAGTTGAACTCGCCAAGTAGTTAAGATGGCTGCTGAGGGTGGTGATATAGATAGTTTTATTTTTGATGATCCATCAAAATTCCAAGAGACTTTCTTTTCATAACGCAAGTTATGAAATGAGAATCCATCAATCTATATGGGGATATATCCGGAGATTTCTGCTTTTGTTTGAGAAGTTTTAAATCTATTAATCTCGAGAAGGATCTCTAGAAGTTTTATGAGTAATTATGTCGAGATATAAATTATTTGAGTTTCATTTGATGATTTGTCATAATTCAAGGAGAAGTTTCCTATTATTTGATTGTTTAATAGAAATTTTATTAACCTTAAAACTTTTCCTTCCTCCGCGAGATGTCACTACATTAATTATGAGGTCATCTAGTGAGTAATAGTTTTAAATCTTTTATGGCTAACTAGAAAGCAGTTTTCTGTAGATTTTTTGTTATGAGAAACAAAATTGAAATTTTTAAAATGTTTGCATGCATTTTTTCATTTTGTGAATTTCATCACATGTTTCGCAAGCAGATTTTTGTTTTTGACTTCATATTTTCGTCAATATTCCAAACATTTCAAATATCCTACGATTGCATATTCGCTCTGAAATATTTTTGGTTATTTCAGCATTTCGGTACGAATAGTAGCTCAACGAAAATTTAATTACGAAATAGCGTGTGCGTGACTACTGTCAAGCAAAATCTAGTCTGGCGCACATAACCAAACATGCGCAAACTATGCAAACATTCATATATTCACCTAATTATACGAAAATTGATGTCCCACTCGCAACTTCGCATTTCGTCGAATACAGAAACACTAACAGAAAGCCATTTGTCCAATAAACTAATTTAATTTTGCTTTCTGCTTCCATCGAAACTCAAATATCAAATTTAATTTAATAAATACAATAAAAGAACATCTTCCACTATAATATATATGATCATATGATACAATATGTTCTCACGCATATTAATCACACAATTCACCATAATTCAAGACAAAATACGTGCGAATGTCTCCGAAATGTGTGTGAAATGTGCCAAATACACATTTCATATTCTCATTCCAGCACGCAATGCTCATCTGAATACTAAATACGAAATAATGCTGAAATGTGTAGATGTAGTATGTGTGTAACAATGTCACAAAATGGCGGCGCATGAGTAATACGCGCACCATATGACAATCCGTGTCATGCTCATGTCAGCATCGCCGTCGTTGAAGCAGTTAAAGCTCTCCATCCCCATCAGGGGCAGTAAAAGCACAAGCACGGCAAATAAAACGTTTACGGCGGCTGTACATCAGCAACGCGGTTTATCTCGTGGAGATTGACATTTCTCCGCCTTTCGTATACAAAGTGTCGGCTAACCTCAATAAACACATTTTATTACATCACATATAAAATGTTAAATATTACAGGTTGAAATTTTATATTTACTGACCACTTACAAGTTAAAACTAATAAAACATAATATAAAATTTATTTTTATGATTTTCCGATAGGTGGCGCTGTAGTTTAATATAACTTATTTTTGCAAGTTCTTGTTTAATTCGAACAATGTGAAAACGTGACAATCTGGAAATAGCAACGCTCATTAAAGTGACGAGTCCCCCGTCACCAGCAGAGGTTGCCAGCTAATCGCCGCAGTACGAATTGGATTATGCATTACAACGTGCCATTACGTTCCGTTACGCGCTTGCCCTGCGTTACATTATTGCGCACTTGTTACACGAAATTCGCACAGCGTGCAGATTTATTCGACCACATGTGCGCACTGCGCACGCGGCTAACAGCCAGAGACATTAGACATGTCCCCTTCGGCCGTCCCCAAAGACAGCACGAATAGAATTTTACGCTTGAGATTAATTATCTAATTGCAAACGCACGTGCAAAGTTAAATTAATGCGCGTTGGTTTCAGTTTCTGTTCCACAGCGCCACCTGTCGAAGTTAATTTTGTGTGTTTTTTTAAGGTTATCTAGGTTTGTGTGCGCGTAATATTGAGTTGCATTGATTTACACTGACGTTCATCAAGCTGTGCAGACCTGGACGGTGGCTGATGAAACCTGTAGAACAATGCGGATGAAACGGTAAATGAATACGGAATGTTTGTTTTTCGTTTGTTTGCACGCGCCTTTTGTTTGTTTGCGCATGCGCCAACCAAACTCTCATCCGGCGTGTTTACGCGACGTGTATTTTTCGAGTGCAGCGGCTCAAAGTGGCGCTGTGCAGCGTGTGTAAGCTAATGGGTATTTTTATTTACTTTTTGTGCGCGAGGGCTCACAAAACGATCCACGGAGCGTGCCCAATGAACAAACGCACGTTCTGGAACACGAACATGAGCAGAACATGCACAGGCGAGCATTCGGAACCTTCTAGAACATTCCAGTACAAGCGAACATAGTTGAGGAGCGTCCTAGAATTTTCCACAACATTCCGACAACCAGTTAAAACGTTATGGAAGGGTACGTTTTAAGAGGTATGACATGTACAAATGTTTGAAGGCAATAAATCGCCGAGAGGGTTTTAAAAAATGCTACAAAGTTACAAAAACCTCGTTATTTTTGCGAGGTTAGAATGTATTCAAGTGTACAAACAGATTATGCTTTGTTTGCTTGGTATTTATTAAAATTTATCCCGTGTTAAGTGTTCTACGTGTATTCCGCTGATAATCCACGTATTAATTTAAAATACATGGAAGGCAGGCCAACGTGTGTAAGCCAAAACGTGTAAGTATATTTTATTTCCTTGTAAAAAATCTAATAAAAAACAAACTCACTGTTTTTATTGCTTTAAAGGTTTTCCAGCGCATGTTTCGAAGCGTAAGGATTGGTCCTGACCGAAAAAGATTCAACGTAATTTCATTTTGCATCCACGACGACCCAAAACGTCCCAACGGACGACCCGCAATGTTTGAATATTTGGAGGCGAAGCAAAAAGAAGAGTTAAAAGTATATAGTCCTATAGTTAATAAGAAAGCAACGAAGAAACTACGAAAACTCTGTTGGTGAGTTCAAGGAAAACAAGAATAACAAGAATTAAAATGGAAAAGGACCAATAGGATAGTAGGGTAACATGTTTTCATGTTTTCGCTTGGCTTGCTCAGGCGGGTCGAGTAAGTTTGCATTCTCGTCCTCGTCGAGGACTCCAGATGGCCAGATGCGACGTCCTGCGGGAGGACGTGTGCGGGCGCCCTTCCAATTCGGGCGGAAACAATTGTTTCAACTCTGACAGCGACATTCCTCTCTTTCTCCTCGTGCGTGCCAATATATACATTTAAATTAGAACAGAAGCATCTGGTGTCGACGTTAAACAAATTTATAGAACCAATTTAGGTTATAATAGCAATCCGCATTAGTATTACATTTAACATTAATGAAAACAAACAATTTCTTCGGGGCGCAATGAATTAATTTGTTGGAATGTTTGGCATTTTGAAATTTAATCTTTACTTATAGTATCAAAGTGTAGGATGACAGTGGGTTGCAACGGCGAGGAATTTAATGAAAGACAGATGCGTGCAACCCTTCCGTTTTCCGGTTCATCCAGCAGGTTGGTGAGTGAGTCGGTTCTATGAGGTGGCATCTGCTCAACTGCCGACACGTAACTGTTGGAGCACGCGATGCAAGCAAGGACGAAGAATGAAGGATAAAGGACGAAGGACGAGACGAAAATAACGTACTTATGACGAAAATATTACGCGGAGGTATTTCGTAGGAGTATTCTACATTCAGGTATTATATATTTTCGAATATTATTGTTGTTTGGATGAAAAATCTATTTTTAATCTTTGCTTTTAATATTCGAGATTTTTTGCGGTATAAACGAACAAAAGTCCTATAAATAATTGAATAGGTTTGGAAAATATAATTTACATGCATAATATCATGTTTACCAATTAATTATTAATGAATAAAGGATAAATATTTTATTATTTGCATATTTATTCACGAATATGTGAATCAATAGTTCAATATTTGAACGAAATGAAAATATTAATCGTAAAAACATATTAATATATTTTAGCAAAATTAGCGATGCACTTAATATATTCAGTTGCATTAAATAATAAATAATAATTTCACGTTTGCGTTCAAAATTTAATTTAATATGATTGCTTTTAGCTGTGAAGAGTAATAATATGAAAATGGTGCAATGAGAGTTTTGCTAATTATTCTGGCAAATTGAAATGTTCCAACGATACGAACTAATTTGAAATCAAATATTCAAATCATAAACACAATCAATCACGTTTAAATTGTTCGCTGCGCGTTAAAACCACTTCAATCGCATTAAAAACTTAATTATATGATAGCGTCATATAGCTAAATTATATTTCCATGAAACTATTGGTGTTAAAATTGTTTAATGTTATCTGCATTGCACGAGCATCTGCATTGCACCAGTGGATAGTAGCAAGGTAGAAATTGCGTCATTTATGCAAAGAGTAAATTAATTTTACTCTTTACGTTATACTCTCGCTTGATAAGAATATTCTACGGAGGTTAAAGTGTATATAATCATAGTTTTTACTTAAAATTGAAGTTTAAATTAAAAAATTGAGTTTTTAACTTTAATTTATTGCCTAAACATGCATGCATCTTCAAAATCTTTATATAAAAGTTGATTTTGTTAGTTAAAACACTTATAACTACAGACCGGCTGGACAGATTTTGATGATCTATGATTTTTTTAATTCGTATTTATCTTGAATAGCAGAATAATTATTAAAATATAAAAAAATTGATTTAAAGGAAGTTAAATCTATGATATAAAAATGAAGTGCAAAATCTGTTGGAAAGCGCATATCTCAACAACGCCTAGACCAATTTGGCCAATTATTTTTTTAAATGTTCGTTAAAGTCCAAGGATGGTTTATACGGCGAGAAAAATTCGAGTAATTGTTGAGTTGGCATTGAGATTCAATCATAGTTATAATTAAATAGTTGAATCCGATGGCGTTAACGTGCATAATTAGCATTTCTTATTTCTTTAAAATAAAATTGTGGAACTTATTGATGAAATCATCACCTACTAAGTCCAAGAAACAAGGATGTAAGAATTTCTTATATTTTTAGTAAGAACTACGAGACTATGTCGCGAATAAAACTAAGTTTCATACAAAACTACTCTATATATTTCTAAAAATGTGAATTGTCCTCAAAACTTCTAAAACCATGAAAGATCCCCTTCAAAATGCGTCATTTCCTGCTTCAGAATGAATTAAATCTTGAGAGCAGAGTGAGAGGAATGTGGGTTGGTTCTTGGTACTTGCGCCTGCCTCGAGCAGTTAGAGAGGTTTGGTCTCGACTTGCGGTTTGCTTTCCTCAACGACCGCAGCAAACCCGAGCAATCAGACTGGAACTACTACAAGAGACTAGAACTATTCGAGTTTTAGCGAATATAGTTTCCCGGGTCAACTCACATTGCAAACATTCCAGCGAATATCAAAACAAAAATCATTTACGGATTATATTAAATTCTGATTGTATAAATTCACAATTAGTGTGATTAGTAAACATTTAAATGCACGCCTACTCAAGTATAAATTCGGGTGTAGGAAGATGTGAGCGTCACTAATTTTCGGCGGGAAGGAAATTGCGTAGGAGGCAGTCAGAATATGGCCGAAAGGAAATTTAATCTGACGAATTAATTCACGCAATTTCCCTATTTACAAAGATTGCTAAGTTTCCGGTTTATCGCCGATCGCAAATATTTGCATTTGTTTAAAATAATATATTGCATGTAAAGTGCGTCAAATATTTATAATTTATTTTACGCATTTAATGTACAATATTCTTTTTTTCTACATTGAGCTTTACAGCGCCACTTTTTCCACAGTTTAAAAACACGAAAAGTGGTACTTTAATCACGGACGACCAAAAAAGTACTTTAAAGTACTTTAGTTACGGAATGTCATGCATGTCACATACGATTTTGAAGGCGTGCGCGAAGTCCAATGTATTTATAACCTTACATATCTCAATAGTGCGTCAACGAAGTTGGAAAATATAAAAAACAGAAGTATAAATACAAAAACCTATAAGTAGAGGAAGCAACGTTAGCGTCACGTTGCTAAAAGTGGTTAAAAAGCCCTTTAGCGCGCTTGATTAAATAAACTATTTGCACAGTAGTGCATAAAACTGCACTTTAGAGCGCAATTCCACGAAAACAAACGTTTAATTAGCTATTGATTAATATTAACAGCCGCGCCGATGACTAATTAGCTAGTATTGTGTTTTAATTGACCTGGACGTAAAAATACGCTCGTAATCAATACCAGCTTCATTATTTTTTCATTTCTATATCAATTACCAACCGGATTGATCGCAGCAGCGTACCACGTCGACAAGACGATTAATCAAGACGTTATTGATTACATACCTGCAACAAACAAGAAATATTAATTAACATCAACGATTCTATTCAATACAAACCAATTTGTACACGTCATATACATTCTATCACTAACCACGCTGTATATATAATGGTTTCGTCGAGAATGCTATTTATGCTGGTCACATACGCGTGGAGAAATAAAACGGTTACTTTTATTCTTAGCTGCATGAGTTGAGCCGCAAACCGTGGCGTGGAAAACGTAAAAATTGCGGAAATGCATTAAACGTAATCGGATTCGAGCTGAAAGAAGTGAAATCGGCGCAACACACGCTTGCAATCTATGCGTATGAGTATGGCCATATTGGAATTGAGAGTGTTTTGTGTGTGTGCGCGCGCGCAAACGAAACACTTTACTTGCAAATTATCACCGCCAGCACCCCCAACAGGCCTTATAAATACCACCTCCGATAAATTCCATTGTTCTGATACAATGGCGTTTTACGAGCGTAGCGCGCCACGCGCTTTTCTTCCCGTCGGGCGATAAATAATCCACGCCATTGCTGTTTTACGTAGGCAATAATAAATGTAAAGAATAACGAATATAAAGTGATTGTTGTATACGCAGCATGTACAAATTTTTATTCAAATAGCATACTTAAATTTATTTATATTTTGGCTGACCCAATTTTTGGTTATTAAGTTTTATATAACCTCAAAAATATTTGGAAATTATTTGTGTTATACAACACCTGCGGTCAGAAATATTGCGCGTGATAATCAGAAGTTTTACGTGCAATTTTATTATAAGTACAACAATATTGTTATATAGGTAGTTGTTGCCTATAAAAGGTGTTCAATTCTGTTGGGAGAATTAATGTCTACCGTAAAATACGTACTATATATGGCAGGTATATCGAATAATACCATTAAAACTTTTGCAAGTGTTAATAACTTCCGGTGTTCCGGTTTGGAGTTTTAAACGTGAAACGGAGCTACATAATTTCGAGGTATTTATGTCTTCATTTCATGTGCAAAATAATGGAGAGCATTAAAAGTAATTTTTGCTTTCTTCGGTTTATTCAATTATTTTAGAAGCTTGGTAGTAGGTTGCTTTATGTTTAATGTAGTTTTTATTTTTTTTGGCGAATAATATGAATATTATTTGAGTAAAAAATATTTATAAAATGTAATTAAGTTGTGTGTTTTGATGTGTACTAAATTATTTATTAAAATTTCAACAAGTAACGTAATTGTTACGCCGACTAAACGCACTTTGAAGCAATTAACTATAATCTGATTTCGGGAAAAAAAAAGAAAAAAAAGCAGGGAGCCGCGCAGGTGGGCTTTGCGTAATTAAACTCGAGATAATCTCAAGTATGCCGTGCATAAGCGGTATAATAAATTAATATTTCACGAAATGTTTCAGTACTAATTAAAAACTTTGGAAACAAAATTTAAAAAAGCCGTATTTTTTGTATTTATATAAATTATAACTTTTATTACTTATTAATAACTTGCGATTTAAGTTAAAGTATTTTTTGTTATTTTTGGCTTTCGTACAAAAAAAAATTAGAGGGAATAAAAACGCAGTCAATCGTTCAGAATGATGTAATTGCGTGCGTCCAATGTGGGGGTGGTAAAGGGTGATTTGAGTTGGGGAATGAGCACGCTCCGAGAATGCCATGACTCCATGACTTTCATGTTTCATTTGTGCCGCCTCGTGAAACCAGCCGAACGCACGGTCACAAATCGGTGAATTTCGTGCGCGCCCACGAATTTCGCACGAGCCTGAAACCCCAATTTTATTTCTCTCGCTTTCGATTCGTATCGATGTATTTTCATCGCCAGCGCGTTTAATTCGTAATTTCATCTTTGGTGCGGTACAAAAACCACGAAAAAGGATTTGCCGTGTGTGGAAAATTATTGCCACACAATATATTTTAATTTAAAAACAATGTTTTCCGTGGAATATATACAACTTTGTTTGTTTGAAACAATCGTTCGATTGTTCCATGCGATTAAAATCACATTAATAACAAAGTGAGTTTCTGTTTCCGCACACGCGGGGTCCAAACTTTGCTCGAACGCAGACAAACCCGCACAAAAACGCGATTAATGACGTCGCCGAGCATGTCCACCCCAAAGCCAGAAAAAAAAAAACTAATGCGGGGCATTAGCTTCCAGTCAAGTTCGCACGAAAACATAATGCGATTATAATTAATTGTTATGAGTAATTAAATTCGCGTTATTAATCAACATGCGAACATGCCATAACCTCACTTGGAAACTTCATAACCTACAAAGTCCACGCCATCTATATATATATTTAAATTACAATATAAGTATATATTTTATAGGCTCAGTTTCACTCGAAGAGAAAATTAAGGAAAATTAACTTAAACAAACTTAAATGAATCTAATTTAAGTGAATTGAAATGAAAAGATGTGGGACATTAAATTTAACTGTCGGAACGCAAGAGTCACAGGACACACGCAACGCCAAGTAGGAATCGGCAGTTACAGCAATTGCTGGAGACGGTGGGGAAGTTAAATTGTAATAAATCGAGGCCTACAAATTTAACTTCACTACGGGCGCTACTTCTGCTCGCTTCAGGACTTAAATTAAAGTTAATGTCAGAGTCGAAGTTTAAGTGAAACTCGGATTAGTGCAGAAAAGGACATGGCGTGCGCGCCCCCATCAAGGTTAGATTAGAAGATAGCACTAATCAGATTTAAACATTTCTAGACACTAAAAACGCGAAGATTTTTTATTAGTTGAGGTTATGTGGTGCAATGTAAATTAATTTACAAATTGAAGGCTGGGTCCGGAGTGCTTGGGACCGTGTGATTTAGGAAAATTTATCGTGGACAACCCCTGCGGGTGTAATAAATACGCGCGGAAATTACGATAACGATTTTCGTGAACTTGCATAAATCGCAAGCGCGGCCTTTGCCCGCGTCCAATTTTCCGATTCGAGCGCTCGTGCGCCATAACCTGCTTATGTGCCTGGGCTTGATCCTACAACCCCACAACCCTCTCTAGCAAACATATTGCGAGGTGAGGAGGCTATTTGCGCATTGCACACATACTCCCACAGAGTTTAGCTGTACTCGTGGATATGGGGCTTGAAAATCAGAAGCGTTTGATTTCATTCTACCTACCCCTGTTAGCTGAGGGTGCGAGGGTGCGGATTGAGGTTACACGCGCACGCGATCGGCCGTAATCCGCCACATATTAAATTTTGGCGAGATAGGTGCTGATCGAAATTTATCTTTGATTTTTTTTTCTGTGTGGATTTAAATATATATTGAGATACTGACCTTGTCAAAGGCACTAGGCCTGTGGCATCGTTCCCTATCCGGCTCCATGCGGCGGCCGGACTCGGCTTGAGGGCAGAGGGGCCGGGCAGCCGGACACACGCACCTAGCCGAGCTCCATGGGGCTCTGCCCTCGCCCCATCACGCTTTTAGTCACCCCCACATACGAGCTGTAACAAATAACAAGAAAAACATTCAGTTTTGTTGCGGTGGTATTAGAAAGATGTTTTGAGGACATGAATTTTCATTAGGCGCACTTAATGCCTCCATCAGCGCTGTGTGGTAGTTGCGCTCTTATTGCTTGAATAATGAACGGCACCGCATGAGCACCGCGAAGCGGGCGTACAATACCGGAGAGCTTCCGCGGCTTACGGAGCTTTTACCGGCGCATCCACCAGCAGAACCCAACAAAGCTATGCAAAGAGCAGCGCAGCGCAGCAACGCAGCGATCAACGAAATATTTGTTAATTAAGTGCACAACCTTCATCACAGTCACCACTTGCATTAGAATAGTATTTAAATGTGTTATGTACAGTGTGTTCATTTTTTTCGAATTTAAATTTTAATCCAATTCAATTCACTTAACACAATTGAATTGCATTCGTTTAATGCGTTTCGTCTTCAACATTTTACTTTTCACTTTACCTCTGAAAATATTTAGACAATTCGCGAATTGGAATCCATTCGCTTATTGAGTTTGCGTTGGTGTTTTACGTCGGCGGCGGCGTCGCGACGCTTATGTTTTGACTTGCCAATCGAATTTTGGCACGCCGCGGACGCAAACAAATTTATTCGGTCTTGTTTTCCGAACGTTTTCGTTTTCAATTTACGATTATTTTCGGCTCGCAATAAAACGTTTCGTAAACATACGGCATACTGTAATAATCTCGTAAAAAAAAATTCGATTTAGTAGATTGTATTATTGAGTTCTCTAAAGTGTGGAATGAATTTCATGAAATCAAATTAAATGTGGACGCCAAGCCATATTTCATTAGTGTCAGCATAACTGATTGTAATTTCTCATGTGAGAGCGAGTTCACCAGCGCGACACAACAATTAATCATACATCTAACTAACCCAGCTGCCATCGGACCCCAAAACTGATCGATGTCTGTTATCTGCTAGTAAAAAACGTGAAATATGTCAAACATCGCATAAATGAGGCTGGAATCATCTTAGAAATTAATATTTCAGTATTTTTTTGATGAAAATTATTAGAAAAGCTGTTTTAATCTTGCAACTGAGGTAAAAGCTTTGGGCATGTTTACAAAACTATGAATAAAAGGCCTATCCTTGCACAAAATAGTGAAAAGATAGAAATCCAGGGCACTGGGGCATGTTTCGAGGACATTCGTAGCGAATTGTGGGACATCTTTCATTGCATTTTTGTGTGTCCGCATTTCCGCCTTTCGCAGATTTCTGTGTCCGTTTTCTTTGAGCGGCGAGCGAATTTGAGGCCATCTCGCCCTTCCGGTCGATTTAACTTCGGTTTTACTGTGCATTCAAACTTCCAATGAGTGCCAAAAGTTTTCAAGATCAGTTTAAAAACACATTGGAAAAACACTTCAATAAAATCAAATAAAAAAATATATAAATATGAAAAAAACATTATTGGAATTGTTAAAAAGTTAGAGTGACATGCAAGACGTAGAAACTGAAGTGTAGAATATTGAAAGTCGGCGGAAACGTAACTGCTTGGAATATACTCGTTGACGCTTATTTATTATGCATCAATGGAACTTATAGACAATGTATGACTTCCAGGGCATCCGTTTGAAAAGTGGAAATTTAACGATCGGCTTTCAGTTTTGACTCATAGTCATAACATTCTTAGTGATGTTTTGACAAACCTTTCAAGTTTATGGATAACTGTGACTAGATCTTAGACATAACGTAAATATGTTTTGCCACTTCATTAATATAAAACTTTATGTGCGAAACTTGCTACATTGTAGATAATTAATATTTACTGCACAAATATTACACTCAGCGTTGTGAGTGCGGATTTTATGTGTTTGCGATGTTGGAAATGGTTTGAAATGACAGCCAGATTAGTTTGCTCGGCCGCAGATGGAATTGCGGTGCCCCTGGCAAGACAACAATTGTGACCTAATGACGAAACGAAAGCAAAAACAAACAATAAAAATTGCACCAGCAGTTGAAATTGTGCACAACACATACAGATTACTAACTTGGCGCATTGCCAAAATAACACTTTTGCGATAGCGAGGAAAAGAGAGAAATTTTGCAGGGAGGAAAGTCGTGTTATGAGCAATTGATTTTGACGTGATTTTCATATTTGGCAACTTGGTTCATAAACAAGTGTTATAAATAGCATTCAATTTAATTTTGCATAACAAAATTTTAAATAATTATTTTTAATGAGTTAAGAAGGTAATTTTGGTAAAAGGATTAAATTTTAATTGTGTAATTTCTTAAGATTTTAATAGCGGTTTTTTTTTTTTTTTTTTTTTTTAAATTTATTTTTGGATTACGAGTATATCATTCGTTTTATGTAATTTTTATATTCGTTATTGTGGATTAATGTAAATGCGGAGGGTTGCCGACTTAAGGTTTGGAGGTTTTCAGGTTGAAACCCAAAGGAGTGAAATATTGCGAATTTCCCAAGTGGCTTGTCTCTGGTTCCTTGTTCTCCGAATATACACGGGAAGCATGAGCAATGGGAAAATCGCAAAATGGGAAATTCTTCGAAACACGACTCAGACAGCCAGAAATACGAATAAAGAAAAAGAAAAATGAAAATATTGTACCACAAAAGTCCGTTGTGCGCTAATCTCAAAGATTAATTTTCCTAAATTCTGAAATTGCGTAGAAGTAAAATAAAATAAAAGATAATCCAAGAAAATTAGAGCAAAAAGAAAATACGATCAAAATCAATTATCTGAAAATTAATTTCTACATAGTTAATCTTGTTTTTTTGGAGAACGAAGAAAAAAAATCGAAAAGCAAAAACTAACATAATGAAGAAAAAGTTTCCGAAGGTAGAAAATGATAATGTTACACAAACTTGGCAAACAAAAAGCTTGAAAGCAACGAAAATAAAAAGAAATTACCAGGAATGAAAGGATACGAAAAAAAAGATAGAAAGAAGATGCTTGCAGGTTTTAAAAGCAAAAGAAAAGACCCTGGTGGAAAATCTTACTCGCATGTCACTCTAATGCATATTTATGTTCTGTAAATAAACCAACGAAACGAAATGACTCTGAACCGATTCAAACAAAAAGTATTTTTCTTTTTATTCTTAAATATTTAAACAGAATATTTCAGTGATTCATCATGATTCACATCTAACAGTGAATCATATTTACACGCAAATATTACTCAACTATTTATTAATTCGTGACCTGTATAAATATTAGTTTTAATTACACAACATGCCTCTGTTGATGTTTGCAATATTAATAATAGTATGTTTGCTACTTTGTAACTTTCTGGTTTGTTGCACTTACTGCGCACAAACATTTGCGTTAATCAATGTTGCTGGCTGTGCTCGTTTTCCATCTCGATTATTCTCGAACGCAGCATGCCGGTTATTGTCACAAGCATCCCCTGGTGCCCCCGATGCCCCACCCGGTGTGAATACAATGGCGTATTAGTGTTATGACTGTTTTGCTCTAGAGAAACCGTAGTAACGGTGTAAGAACAACACAAGGTGGCAACAATCAACGCGCGGAGCAGTGTAAAGGTGGCTCCCTCTGTTCATCAGACTCTATCAGCAAACAGAATCGTTGGTGTTTTGTTTAGTCATGTTATGCGATGTTATAGAACATTCCGCGTTGTTATTGGTCGTTTTCAGCTGTGTGACTATGTTATTCTTTGTTAGTCTCGCTGCAAGATGGCGGCTTGGCATGTGGGTTTGTACAACCTAGTTTTGCGGGGTAGTGCAAGCAAGATTCGAGATGCTTTTGTTTTAAAATAACAATCTGCCCAGGTTATAGTTACGTAGCGACCTGTTTGGAGAGTGCGTTGCTTTGGGTTCACGTAGGTGTGTGATTATTCTGGAATATTCCGATGGGAATTTCAAGAACCATCGGGGTCGGGATTAAATGTAAATGTAACTGCTTATTGCAGTGGAACGCGGTATAATTGGTGAGATAGAAACGTGTTTGGGATCTGTAGGTAATAAATCAAATATAAATTCAAGTTTTGTCAATGATATTTGACTTTCACATGACAAAGATTTTAATTTTTTTCTACTTCCACTTTTAAAGAGTAAAGTGACACTTTAATCACGGCCGTGACTAAAGTAATTTAACGCATGTTGCTGCTGTTCGTGAAGGCGCAGCGCGCCTGAATGTTGAAATAGCGTTGAAGTAGCAAAAATTGCATAAGTATCACGTCGCTAAATGTTAAAGTGTCATTTAGCGCACTTGACACTTAATATATTATTAGATATGTTATAGTATTGATAGAAAAATTAATCATGTTAAAAAAAACGTTTCCGAGATGAAAATTTACAATAATGAGAATTAACTTTGCAAATGCTCATAACTTATAGCAAAATAAGTCAATTAGAATTGTTTTTCTTAAAATTTTCATTCGAAAACACCTGTTTTATAAAATATCTATTTTATTTTATTTTATTTTTAAATTTTAATATAAAAATTTCCAAAACTGAAAATTTTTCACTTTACTATAACCAAGTTGTCATAACAAATTCACGCCTGTATGTAAAGATCCAAAGGCTCATTCTTATCCCCAAAATATATTTCCGCGCCCACACAATACAAGCCGAATTGCATTGCGATGGTAATTCCACATTTGCATGGAATGTCCCGGCACCGATCGCACGAACTACACACTACTAGGGGAGACTGGGTACGGTTGTGCCAGGGTACGGTAGTGACAGTCGTCATAATAACGAAACTATACGTCATACGGGGGAGGGTGCAAGAGGATAAAGAAGCGGGGTGCAAATTTGAACGCTTTCCCTAGTATTGCATCAGTCATTGCGCGACGTTAACGTAACTAGGAGCCCACATTGCGTTTTGACAGTCAAAAGTAAATATTTTTGTACGGCTTCACTTAATAATTATTGTTGTTTGTATACAGATAGATTACTTCTGTTTTTTGTTTCTTTTAAATTGAACATTGGTAGTTATTTATAAGCATTTGCTTTTTACGTAGATTATTCGACAAAGTCATGGCGAATTTTTGTTTTCGAAAAAGAGGTTCGGGTACAGTTGTGACAAATTTTGTGGGTACGGTTGTGACATTACTATAGTTGTTCTTTTTTGCTTCTAGATGCTTTTTTGCAGTTTTTTTGCTTTTTTGTATTCCCGTGAGTACGTTATCATGATCATTTTGTTAGAGATGGACCGGTGGGATCAATTGGAACTGTAAATCCTTCAGGTTGGATGCAGGATGTATCATTCTTAACATTTCTCGAACATTTTAAGAAATTCTGGAATGCTTCTCTAATACATCAAGTTTTTCTATTGCTGGATAATCATTCCTCTCACATTCATATTAATGCACTAGATTTTTGCCAAGAGAATGGCCATTTTAGTGTATGTTTTTGCATGTCACAACCGCACCCAACCACTGTCACAACCGTCCTTGGTGTGTGGCCGGTTGTGACAATTTGACTTTTTTTTTTAAATTTATCTTATTAGTTATACGTCGTATTTAGGGCCAACATTTTAGTATTCTTGTATAGATAAATGTACAAATTACCATAAAAGATACTTTTCTACGATCTAACTGGTAAATTAACAAAACTATTGGTAATCAAACACAAATTGTCACAACCGTACCCAGTCTCCCTTACTATCCACTCTGCAGCGCTCCGCGCTCTGCAGAGCACGAATTGATATGCACCATATATGAGTATGCAATATATCTGGAACGCTTTAACACCTACACTGTACCTACACCTACACCCATGGCGCTTTTCTCTCTCCGCGCGCATTGTGCGCCGAAACGGCGATCTAATGCGTCGCGTCACGCGGCGTCGGGCGCTCACAAACAGCTCGACAATGCCGCTATCAATTCGCCATTGCACACTCACACACATATATAGTGTACAAATAGATGATTACATTCACATTACATATATCTCTAAGGCCTATAAGCTATACACACATACTTATGGTCTTTATTCGTATATTTGCATTTGTTTATGCTTTCGTTTACGACGCGCATGAATTGAGGTTATGGTCGCGTCCGTGTGTGTATAAAAAGGTTATGGTTGTGTGGCAGTGTGCGTGCGCAAATAACGCGCATACTTTGATGACGATAAAGCGGATTAATTCGCACTCGAAATTTGGCACGCCAAAATAAACTCGCAGGCGCGAGCGCGATACAAGCGCAGAGCTGGAAGCATTATTAACATGGCGGAAGAAACAGGAAAAACAGTATAAAAATAGCCATTTCATTACGTAGGTACTTTTGAACGTTGTTGATGGCAACCGTTGGAAAACATGTATTGTATGCAAGTTTTTATTGGTTTTGCTTGAAATTACTACAAAAATCACTTTGGAAAGAATCGATTTATAAGTTTAAAGTAAAACCATATTTCTAACACGTTATTAGCCGCCATTTTGAAAAAAATGAACAAACGAGCGCATGTTTTATGTAAATATGCGTAGATATGCATGAATATATGAGTTCTTAACACTTCATTTTTGAGCATATATGAGCAGCACTTTCAACGCACTTTTCCGCATTTTCCGAGTTTCCACGTACTCCAGAGAATCCTTAACCCACTTTACATTTACATTTCGCACACCTTAGAATCCTTGCGGCGATCTACACATCTACGGGAATCTAGTGCCGCGGAAAATTTAACCTCAAAATTTCATAATTCAATATTCTCGTTAACTTTTGAAGTTTTAAACTGTCAGAAACTATTTAAACTTAATACTTAGTTTAGAAAAACGTGGAAAATTAAAAATACTTCCATAATATTTTATAGCAATATTTTTATGCTTTTAATTATTAATTAGAAACAATTTTTGAAAAATTTAATATTTTTTGTTGATTTTGCTTACAAAATTACTATTTTAAATTCTCATAAAATAAAAACTCATAAAATATAGGAGATATCATTATTTATAAAAATTAACTTCAAATGGTAATTTTTATCATTTTTGGTGTTTGAAACTGAAAAATATTCAATTTTAACGAAATAGTCGCCATTTTTAATGATTTTCTAACAAAATATTTTTCAAGTATAGTCAATTAAGGCAATTATTAAGTATTCTCCGTAATTTCCCAAAATGTAATTTGTGGAGAGAAATATTATTAATTTTCCATTCGTTTTTTTGCTCGCTTGTTCTTGGAAATAATTCAGTAGTAAAATATTTTTACGACAAAAATGAAAAAAAAGCATCCTACTCCGCTTGACCGTAATAAACTCATCTCCTGAAACTAACCTCTAAATAAACCGTAAACCGTCGCATCACTAAAATATAAAGTGTAAAGTGTGAAGTGTGCAGAGTGAAAAGTGAATGCTGGATGATAAGGCGAAAGGTGGAAAGTGGAAGCGCGCGAGTAACGTAATTAAAACCTTGCGGTGCGGCGAAATTAAATAATAAACCGAAGACGCCCGACGCCGAAGACGCGAGACACGCTAGCGGTTATTAATAGACGGGTTAATTTTTAATTGCGCGCCGCCGGGATCCATAAAATCCATAAATTAAGCCCAACGGCAAACATTCTCAAGCTGTCGATCGATTAAAAACATTCATCACACATGTTTTCATCTGCATATAATTCAAATACAAATTATGATGAACTATGAACACACTGTATACATCGAAGTATCATAAATTTTTATTGGGCATAGTAAGTTTATTTCTTTTGTTTTAAGTTACTACGTAGTGCGTACGTGACGCAACTTGTTTATACATCGTATTATGTATCATGTCCCACATTTTCAAAAGGTGATAATGACGCTAATAGTGATAATGATAGCGACTTACAAGACGTTAAATGGTTTGGATTCATCCGAGGCCACTGTAATTTACACCATGCACACAACGATAGCGCGAGTGCTGCGGCGGCGGCGGCGTCGGAGGCGGAGGCGGCGCTCCTCGAGCGAGACGCGCGGCGCAACTGGCGCGAGGAGGGTGGCGTGCGAAGGGTGGCGCGTTACGCGACGACGCTCACGACGACTTGGTGCAGCACGTCGGTTGCTGTGGCGGCGGCGACGACGACGACATGCGGCAGCAACGACGGCGGCGGCTGCTGCTGCTGCTGCTGTTGCGGCGACGTCGGCCCCACATGAGTGTATAGGCGTGCGTACGTATAGAATTTATTCGGTTGTGTGGAATTGTATTAGTAGTGTTGGCGCGCGCGGCTGTTGCCGACCGGCCGAAAACAATCGACGATCAACAACAATCTGCACCACTCTCCACCAATCACACGCCGCGCGTCGGCACACGAGACCCAGTCAGACAAATCACGCGCACTTTGTTTCTAGTTTTTCTTTTCTTATAGCTTTTGTTATCGCTTGACTTGTGTTACTACGTTTGAGGTTATGTTACAATTGTTTGTTGGTTATGTGCGCGAGTAGTGTGTGTGTGCGCGCGCGCGCGTGCGTGTATTTGTGTATGTGTGTGTGTGTGTGGTTTTTATTTTGAGGTTAAAAATGGTTGCGGCGGCGGCGCGACGTGCGGAGCGGAGCGTTCGCGGCCGTGTCCTGCACACACACTGCGGGAGTGTGCGGGCGCGAGGTTTGTGCGCGCCTGGAAAAACGGTGCGTGTCATGCGCGCCGACGACAACGGCGGCGGCGGCAGCGATAGTGGAGGCGGTAGGAGCTTTAGGGCGCGCGCGCGCACACATGCTGCCCCAGCCTGGCTAGCGGCCTGGCGGCTGAGGCAGCAACAACACGCGTCGAGTATTATTGATCTCTCCAGCTGTGTCCGCCGCGTTCGGACGAAAAGAGGCGATTATTAGGAACGCGCTGCCGCCGCCTCTGTTCGCGCTGCCGCGCGGTGCTGGTTCAGCTGTTTTCTATCCCGCCACTGCTTCGAAAACAATTTGCGCTGCTACAATGCTAATTATTTGCGTACGCGTCGTATTTTTATTGCGATACTTGTTGTTCAACGGCGAAAGACATGTTTTAATTGCTTGTTAGGGCGTCATTTTACTGCTGCGATAATTATCATTTCTAAAAACGCAAATTTGTGTAAGTTTATAAAATAAATTTTTACATTATCCAACTACCAATAGTCTAACCGCATCTACATATCTGTCCTAAGGCATTAGCAAAGGCATTAGCAAATCCCGTTTGAAATCCTTTGAAAATCCTTGGAACTAGGACGAAAAGCGTCAGATAGCTGATAGGCCGATGGAAGTGCGCAAAGCGTGTAAGGAGCGTGCGAAAAGTGTGACTCGTGAGCTGTAAAGCAAGCGCGAACCCAAGCGATAGAAAGATTTGAATGGCGCAGACACAAAGGATAGCCGTACATGCTCGGGCACGTACGATCAACATCAGCCCCAACATCAACTAACATCAACGATTGCTTGCGCGACGCAGCACTATCATCATCAGCGCCGCAACTTGACACTGGAGACGCGTTTCAAAGGACGAAAAAAGCAAGGGACTGAAAAGCTCCTGTTACGAAAGACGTAAGCGATGCGAGTGCAGGCAGCTAAGCTGTTGCTGTGGCAACTTTGATCAAAAGACGACAGAGGAAACATTAAAATGTATAAAACGCAGACCGTGACACAGCGTTTTCTTTAGAGATCTCGCAAACGTGTTCCGTATGAATTTTTCCGCGTATGTATGCTTTCATATTTCCCACAATGGGGTGCAGTGGGGTAAGTGCTTAAATGGAGCTTGATAACGCATCCGATATTCATCATTCGGATGGGTTTGCACTATTTATTTCAATCTGGAAATGTTTTTCTTTACAGCACAGCTTTATTTGGAAAATATGCAACCAATTAAACTTGTTTCTAGCGTCTTCTATTGTCAAAAGTACGAAAATTTGATATTTATTTCGTTTAGAGTAAAAATACTATATTAAGTCTCAATATCCTTACTAATATTATAAATGCGTATGTCCTGAGGTTTATCGTGCTTTCACGCAAAAACTACTTAACAGATCATCATAAAAATTTGTACACATATTCTTAGTGGTCCCCGACAGGTTATAGGCTACGTATTTATTTAATAGAAATAATTATTTTTTTTAAATAAAATAAAGAAATTGTTTAGTCACTAATACCTCTGCATCTGGTTATTTGACTACTTTAACGCCATCTAGCATTCCAGCAATGAAGCTCACACCTAAGTACTATAGTACCATCACACTGTATTACCGACAGCTACGTCAACATCAAATCCGTACACATATTCTTAGTGGTCCCCGATGGTCCCCGAATGGTTATAGGCTACTTTTTTTATTTAATAAAAAAATTATTTTTAAAATAAATAAAGAAATTGTTTAGCCAATAATACCTCTGCATCTGGCTAATTGACTACTTTAACGCCATCTAGCATTCCATCTATTTAAAACTTTATTGCATGTAGTAATTTTTTCACATAGATAATCCTAGCCAAGCAGTGGCATACATTCTTTCATTCATACATTCTTTCTATCAATCCGTTTCAACTATGTATAGTGATTTCTAATATTTATTTGATGGATTCAACGCGAGCGAAGCCGCGGGTTAAAGCTAGTATATAATAAACGGGGACTTTGCTCACGAGATTGATTGAGAGCGAGCGTAGCGAGAGTTTAATCCATCCAGTGTTTAACAACGTTTTGCACATAATGCTTACGCTATTTTTTCTACTTCCACTTCTATTTCAAATTTGCAGGCGTAAGCTCCGACCCATAGATAATAACCGCAGATAATGGATATTACGCACGGCTAGGCGGTCCATATATAAAGTATCGCTTTTTGTGTCTAAATACCGTGGAAAAACTGGCGCTTTATAGGTGGAAGTTGAAAAAATTATTTATTGCTTGGTAAATAGCCATATTTTTTTTTTATAATTTAAAATTGATTATATGAAAAATTATGTTTTGAACACCCTGTATAATTGTGGGTAACACATGTAAATCCTATACTAGCACAAAGAAAAACGTGCTGACTTAGCTCTAAATTCTTCCCTTCCTTGACTTGAAAGCACCGTAGTTGATGTTATGCATCCAGTAAGCACACTAAGGACCAAAAACCAAGAACTGAGAACTAAGGGTACAAGGAAAGATCAAGATCATGTCCAGGATCAGATGAGGGACAGACCGCAAAGGCACTCACTCACACCCCGCTTAGAGAATGCGAACAACGAACATGCTTGCCAAACGTTTCGGCACTTTTCGATCTTTTTGGGGCGCACTTTCAACTTTCAACTTTTCCTCGTCACAAGTCGAACGTGAAGGCATGCGAAGATGGAACGTGATGTGGGACGTTTGTAATCTATATTGTGAAAGTTTTGATATCTTTCGAAGTTTTGATGCTACCCGCCGTTTGGTCGTTATATTACATTCGTTAGATGCTAGATGGCATACTAAAAAGGACAACGAAATGTTTAACGGGCGGATTTGGTCAATTTCCGGTTTGATAAGAAAATTACCAATGGGTTCTTACCATGAATAAAAATTTAGTAGCTTGATACTAATGTCGTTAATGAGTATTGACACATCATATCAAATATGTTTGTTTTGAGGTTATGTAATTATTTGACAGTTGTTAGTAGCAACACTAAGATAAAAGTTAAACATTAGAAATTTAAAGTATATTGACACTTTGTAACAAATAGGATTAATTTGTGGTTATGTAGAACTGTCAAACTTTAATTTTTGTACATTTTCTATTAGAACTGAGAAAAAATTCACGTTTGTATATAAAAAAGATACAATATTGAAATATCCAAAAAGAATTCGTAGTACTTTCTATGAATACTAAACAATACAAATTTCGACAAAATTTATTTGCTCCTGCTTGTATTCTCTTGTTGGTCGTCTGTCGCCGGAAAAGTTACGAGTTGCAAGTTTACCAGCGCCTAACAAGTTGTGCGTTTGTAAGTTCGCGCACGGTAAACTGCTTATAGCTTAAAACATTCAAGTTTTAAACTTTTGCAAACTCCCAACATCCGTTCGCCGCCTCCGCAACACGGAAAAATATTGTTCGACACGGTGGCGAACGAAACTGTTAGCAGTCGGCCGGTATTAATATTTAAATGAGAAAATTATGCATGAGTACGCCACTCATGCACGAAGCGAGAAGATACTATACAAACATGGCAAACATGACAAAAACGCCATCGAGTTGCCAAGTAATAGGAATAATGAATAAATGATGATGAAGATTACTAAGAAAATGATGGAAAATGTGAAGGAAGATAACTTTACAATCGAACATTGATTATAACCTAATTTAATATTATAGTTTTATGTTTTTGTGCATTAAATATTTAAAAAATATACAAATTGCACTATACAATCAATAAATTTTTATATTTCTATTGATTTTACAAAGTAATATAATGGTTTTAAATGTTTTTATTGCTTTATTATGATTATTTGTTCTTTTTTGCATATTTATGATTGTAGCCCTCGGTATATCAATATTTTAAGGATTTTGCCGTGTATATATGGTTGCATACAATGTTCAATGTGTTTATCACACGCCGTGCAAATACAACCGACACTCGTATTGAAAAACCTAAATAACTATCAATAAAAACGTTAAAACAATGTCGGAACATGGTTTAAGTTATCAAGAAGTGATTCCGGATCAAACGCTACCAGTGACATGGAAGGAAATCGATTTAAACACCGGTAATTTTACTTATTTTGAACTTTTAAAAGTTTTAAGGTTATTATTTTAGGCGGCACGCAAAGCACTCTTCAAGATATCAAAATTCCTGAAAAAGCGAATGGATATTGCTTTAAGGACACTTCCAGATATTTGACAAGAAATAGATTTATCTATTGGTGAGTATAAAACTTATTTTGATTATAACATTATTTTCTTGTTCAATAACTATTTCTTTGAATGTTTAGGCGGTTGAATAATGATGTGTTAGAGTTAGTTGAAGAGAGTCTAGACATTAATTTAACAAACAACAGACTTAAATACAAGTTCAGGGATACTCCTATTTTGGATGGTATTACTATTCATGAGACACAATCAAATGTGATCATTTTGGTGCCAACTGTAAGCAGTATTCATAGGCTGACATTTTTGCATCCAAGTAGATTACACAAACAAGTAAGTTATTTTGTTTGTTAATATAATCAGAGGTGGCATAATATCACAATTTAATATTCTAGGATGATTTATCAAGTCCACATCCTGATCTTTCAATACCTTCAATTTTTGCTGATGTTCATGTTATGCAAAACTCCAACAGTTTTTATGTTTACACAGCACCAACAACAGCTAGTGAGTAAATTATTACAAAACTATAAAGCATAGATTTAACTTTTTATCTTTGATATATTTCAGATTCACAGTTGCCTCATGCTGCTGCATCTTGTTTGACTCATGAAGAGGAAGCCATCTTTACTTTGGCTTATCCTAGTGGTGAGTTATTGTTGGTGAGACAACAACCTGATGGAAGAGGTGAATCAATCGAGTTGCAAAGCGATACGATCGTGTCAAAGTTCTTTTCCGGGATTTTAAGGTCAGTTTTAATTCTTTTTTTCAACTTTAAAATAACTTATTCTTATGTTTTTTTGTGTTTTTGTGTATTTAGAAGCAAAAACAGTGAGAATATAATTATAAGCATGTTGGTGCACACAATTGGATTGGAAACCTACGCGATCACTTTGTATCGAGAGGGTCAAATCAAAGTTTGGGACTGTACGAAATTACAATGTATTGCAGTTGATGTTTCCTTGCCAGAAGCAAGAGCACCACATGATACATCATTAAAAAATAGTAAGATTTATTTAATATCACCAGAAAATATTTTCATATCAAATTCAATTTACAGCGCAGTGTCAATTATTAAAACAAGTCGTCGGGGCAGAAGAAAACGAATTTATGTTCGCAGTTTATCTGAATATGGATAACAATAAACATTTCATCATTTTGAAACCTGTGATGGTTAGAAATCAATTTACCATCGTTAAAGTTACACAATTGACTTCAATACCAGTGAGTAATTAAAATTGTGTAAATTATTTTTGTTAAATAACTTTATGTAATGGTTTAGGGTGATTTGATTGATTACGCATTAACACCATCCCGAATTTGGTCAATTTGGCGTTCGCTAGATGGCGAATGGAGTTTGTATTCTGGCCAATATAACTCAGAGGAGACAAATGATGATTTTGTTTGGACACCGGTTGTGCTTGAACCGCTTCCTAACGCTCAGGAACTTCCTTGTGATGGTACAATTGACCCACGTCAACAATATCTCGATTATATTTTTTATCCTGGCAGATTTCCACTGCAAATCATCAGTAAGGCGCTTAGCGTAAGTAACTTAACCTACTTGTTGTCACTCTGTTACATAGCATAGATTTGAGGTTATTTTTATATTTGGGGCTTATGTTATTATACTTTACAGATATACAAACGTTCTTTAATGATACCTGACATCAGTTTGTCTGTAAGTGTTCTCAAACAGAAAGTTTGCGCAGCGGTACAAAGCGAAATCGAAGAAAAACTTCAAGAATCTGAGGTTAATGATGAGTTTTATCTTGAAGAAGCAATGTGGTATGTAATATATTTAATTTGAGTTTAAATTCAGTGTAATTTGATCGTTTTTCATTTAAATTTAAAGCTGTTGGACTCGTTTTTACTCCTGCGTTGTTCAGTACCATGTGGCTGCTTTAAAACCTCTTGGAATGTTACTGCTGCCACCTGTATCCGGCGCAGTCTTGATCAAAAAAGCTTCTTATTCATTTTTGCGTCCAATGGACGTCCTCGAACATCTCGTAAATGTGCCTGATTTAAATCGTGCTGCACTTCTTGGCAACGCTCAAATTTCAAGCAACAATGAAGAAATACAAGATTTAATCAAATTCGCCGATATTTTCGATCTCATCGATGAGAGCCTGAACGATTACCATAAGGAAATGTTTGAAAACAATATGGCGCTTGCCGTACCACCACTGGAAGCTGTCGAGGAAATTGTGCATGATATTCTCACCGAAGAATTCTTGCATTATTTCGAACATAAATTGAAACTTATCTCTGATGTGTATATCACCGTTCATAAATTATTGGAACTCCTACGGATGGACGAATCATCACCGGATGTTTATTTGTCGAAGAGCACGAGATCATCAATAATGCATTTATTTAGTTCGAATCTGGGTGCTTCGATTGTGAGCCAGAGTTTTGCACAGCAAATTGCAACCAAGTTTGGCATTTGCAGGAATATGTTGATCTTTAAAGCTGTGGTTTTGAAGGAGGAGAATGCGTCTAATTATGAATCACTGCGGAGTGTGTGTAAATTGGATATTGAAGTACATTTGAATAGTTATTATGTGTTGTTGTGGTTGACACAACAGGCAGCTACCAGTATTCTACCCTTGTAAGTTTTAATACTTCAAAATAGATGTTTGCATCAAGGTAATAATTTATTTTTATTAGGGAAACACAAAATCAACGCCTTTCTTCATTGAAATTGACTCCTGTATTTCATCTGAAGAACAATACTCAACACTTGGTGTCTCTTATTGAGATGTATGTAGCTTCCAATGGCGGTTGTGACGCTCACAAAGACTTGTGGGAGTATGATTTCGATGAGGAGAAATTGGCGCATTGGCACACTTCATTACTGCCGTACTTAACACGTCTGACTTTATTAATGTAAGTATTCTGTTGTCCTATGTAAGTCTTATTATGTAAAATATAATTTTGTCTTCAGTTGGCCTGAAAATGGGAAACCTCACTTTATGGAATGGCTGCTTTCAAGTGGACAGCACCTGCACCTTCAGAGATACATAAATCTATTGCATCCATGGTGTTGCAGTGGAACATTAAACCGTAAGTAGTAATATTGTTGTTAAAGGAAACATTTTCTTTGTAAATTTGAGTTTTTGTGTTTTTTATATTAGATTCATTTTACGCCGGTATATCGTATCTCAATACCGGTGAGATTCATAAGGCGTACGACTTCTTCAACAGCATCTTTGAGGAGTTTTCCCCCGATGAATTTGTGGTGCGACGCATTACTGAACATGCACCTCATCAGGCTTTAATATTGTTTAACCTCAAAGTAAGTGACTTAACATTCTGATAACCTAGTTGTATAACCTTAAAATTGTGCTTTTTTATAAGATTATTCAAATGCTTGAATTGCACGGCGCACGAGACTACGCAATTAAAGCAGCGGAAGAAGCTCTTACTCGCATCAGTGACGACGAACCGCTCAAACCAACTTTGTATTCGATTCTTTTCAAACATCATCTAGCTCTGGGTCACTATGAAAATGCTTTCCAGGCATTGTGCGTCAACCCAGATGCTGACAGAAAGAAAGATAACCTGAGAGATTTGGTTAAAACTTTGCTAGATGCGGGACATGTTGATATTTTGATGACTTATGATTATGAAGACTTGGAAGAACTCTTTTTAAGTATTTTGTACACCAGAGCCCGAGCGATTGATACCGTGGAGAATATCTACTATGATTTTCTTTATGCTTATAGTGTGAAGAAAAATATGTGGCGATTTAGTAAGTTAAATTATCTTTATATTTTATTTTGGTATTATAGCGGGCATGTTTTATTTTCGTGTTTGCGTTTAGGTGCATCAGTCATGTACGAACACGCCTATCGCCTCACCTACCAATCATCGATCGAGGCACTTGAGAAACACGTAAAATGTCTTCTCATGGCAGTTAACTCTTTATCATTGGGTGATCCACAATTCTCGTGGGTGTTGAAACCGGCTGATCCTGATCTTGAAGAGGAAGAGCATATTCTCCCTGCACAAATCGGTTCCAAAAATGAACCACTTATCCTCCGGTATCGCAAAAAAGTCGATATAATTGATTTGGCAGGCATTAAAAAAGAACTAATTTTTGGCAAAGCCAGACTACAACTTACAAAAATAGAAGAAAAGTGTGTTGCACATTTGATTACGTCTCCGGAAGAGTTGGTGATGTATCTCAGCATGGCTGGTATATTTAAAACGGCGTTCAATGTTTGTAAAGTCTTCGACTTGGGTTATGATATCGTGTTTGAGAACTTAACCTACAAATGTTTTGAATTGAATCAACGCGACGAACCGGAGACTTGGAATTGGTTGGCAGAAAATGATATTCACGGTAACATTTTATTTTTTTGCTTTATTTGAATTTAAATGTTAATAATATTTTCTGTAGATTTTGATTTTATTCCTAATTCACCGAGGAATATGATTTGGATGATGTTGGAGCGTTATCTGGATCAGTACGAAGAAGCAGGTTTATCGAGATATTATCGTATTGTCACTGAAAAGTTATTACAACTCGGTGACTATCCACCATTTTGGTTAATCGCGGCATATAAGGTTTGTTTCAATGTTTATGTGTTTATTTTTTATCAAATAACCGATTATTTCAAACTTAAAGAAACGTAATCCTGGAGAATTATTAAGAGTGTTTTACTATCACGGGTGGCTCAGAGTTGCCGCCAACATGGCGATGGAGTATATCAGTGCCGCTCTAGGCTACGGCCCTGAACATTTTGGTCTAAAACAAACTCTGACCACAATGGCACCGCCCATGTCCATTAATCTTCCGTTAAATGTTATTGACGCGTTGATTTATGAGATGGGATTGCAAAATAAGGATAATCCAGATAAACCACTTGAAAAGGTTTGTTCCAATTACATTTTCAGTTTAATTTTGATGTGATTATGTTATTGTTGAAAACATTTTTATTTTTAAGGAGTACGTATTGTTGAAAGAGTTATTCATCAAGTACATTGATACATCTACGCGGATTTCTGCTGAGGTGTGTCAACATAAAATGAGCGCAGTTGCGTAAATCGTTGAATCTGAGTCTGTTAGGTAAGTAAAGTAAGTTCGTTACATGTTTGTAATTTTGTAAGAAAATAAAATCCGGAAATACTTATTCCACGTAATCCTTGTTCTGTGTACTTATTTGGTGCAATTTGCAACTTATTTCTTCAAATTGATAAACTTCGTAAGATGAGATCCTTGGGTCACTGACTTCATGGCGGCAAGTCCAGCCAATTGCTGTAACAATTACTCACTTTATATTTTTAATCTATGTTTAGTATGTGTATTTACCATTCCGGTTTCCTGTAATTTTATTTCTCCCTCATCGGCAGCAAATTGTATATCTTTTATTTTCGTAGAATACTACAAGTAAATGCTTCTTAGATTAATCATTATCATGTCATAAATATTCATGAACTCTTACCAACTCAGCAACTTGATTCTCCAACTTCATCACTGCATATTTATCAATATCTTGCATTGGAATAATCATCAACTTGCTTTCAACAAACTCCATCGGTGCTAACTCGTAGCTTATGTTCGTCTGATGCATGTAGAACTTAATTACAGACCTTGGTATGTAACATGGTGCCACATAATACATACTGCTATGGTAATCTTTAATAATACCATGCAACAGTATCAAATCATCAATTGCGTCCAAAAACGTAAACACTTTGTAGTTGGATAAATCAGGAACAAAAGATCCTTCAACTTTCAATTTGATATCATGCTGCGTATAGAATTCATATTTAGGCAGTGATTTCAAAATGGCCGTCGAGATATTAAAGCAAGTCATCTTCCACATCTGCGCTATTAGTCCATTAATCGGGTCACGACGGAATACTTCAGCTGTGTGTATACTTTCTTTGTTGACATAATATAGTTTAGTTGGTTTGCAAGCAGTGACAGTGATATCAATCTGTCGATTTGTGGCGATTGCCATTTCACCAACACTGTTACCCACCACGAGGATATGTTCAACTTGATCGAAAAATTGCAGCGATTCGCAGTATTTAAAAACTGGAATAAGTCCATGTTTTAACAGATTATTAATTATTTCTGGAGATGGGTTGTAGTCCAATTTTAACATTCCTGGAAAACAATTACTGCAACATAAAAATAGTTTTTTAAAATCATTCATCAGTACCTGATAGTATAATATAAACTCCATCTAAATGATCTCCTGTACTACAAAGAACTTCTCCTGTTTCTAGTGTCTTCAAAGTACACACTGATAGCAAATAATCTTGCATTTCAATTTGTGTAAGACTGACCCAAAACACATTTCGAAAGATATCTTTGGGACTAATTTGCTGCCACGTTTTCTCGAGTTGTTTACCACGTTTCTCACAACTTCTAAGCTGCATCTTCATAGTATTATATTCTTTTGCGTCCACATAACCAGAAGCTCTGATTTCTTTTAATGTCAGACCCAAAACAGTCATGGTAGCATTCATTGCTTGTTTAGTCTTCACACTCCGAGTAATATTTGGATAATTATATTGAAAATGTGTAAAAATCTCAAACAACTGATGCTTATCTTCACGCACCCACTTTTCACACTCGGAAGCCATACGAACATTATCATCAAAAATGAAGTCCATACTTAATTCCAACTCTGAATAAGCATCGTAGATAGCTTTAGATACTTCATAACCCAATGAAATACGCCCTACCAAACTATCTTCCATACTATAGATAATTTTGGGCATTGAAGTCTTAAAAGCAGAAAGTACTTCAACAAGTTGTATTAATCTGACGTATTTATACGTGTGCCAAGTGTCGATATCATTTAAAGCATACAATACTAGAATAAGAACGAGATCAATCAAAGAAAACAGTAATGAAAATGATTCTATGCAGTGCCAGGTTGATTTGAAGTAACACTTTGCCCCCTGACGACATGAAAACACCGAATAGATATAAATAAAGATATACATCTGAAAAATCATCACAAAGATATAAACTTTTGATAAACTCATAACTGTATAGAAATAGACTGAGTGAAGAGAAGTGATGAACATTGACAGGATTAACATTGTCACGGAGTAGATTGTTAAACTGAAAACTACATAGGTAAAGGATGTAGATCTCACAAATTTATAATAAAGTGCTCTTGTTGGTTTGCGAGGAACGCGTTTTAGAAATTCATATTTGCTGAAAATATGTTGTTCCCATTGGTAAATTTTCCCTTTGACACACTAAAAATTAAAGTAAGTAATAAATAAGTAAATTTTAGTAGAAATAGTTACCCCTAGGTTCATATAAGGCTGAAATAGTTCATGTTGAATGTGTTTGTCAAATGTCAAACATCTCTCAACAGTTTTCATGCATTTCTTCATGGCTGCCGTGGAAATTACACCAAATTGATGACGACGCGTCAAAATTGTTTTCATTTGGTTTTTTATCAATTTTCTTGATAATCTAATAAATTAAATCATTATCAGTAGTAATAATTTATAGAATAATGAATTGTTTTGCTTACTTAGCGAAATCCGAAACGTCTTTGATCGGTTGTTGTACTTGAATCTCTCTTCCACAATCAGGACATGTTACATTCTTCTTCAACATTAAGTCTCCAATTGAATCGCGTTTAGATGTATGAAAAATATTAGTAAAGTTTTTAATCATATCCCATCTTGCATCAGTCATAATTCCCTTCATTTTCCACATGTAGATATATTTCACTCTCAAAGATCTTATTTCATGTAAACATGTATGAATATTAGCTGCTTGATCTGTAGTGAAATTACTAGAGAATTTATTTCTTCGCAAGAATTCCAACGCCACTGGATTGATGATGTTTGTACACACAGCACTAAAGCAGACTTGACACAGAATAATCACACCAAATTCTTTGGTTTTCTCTTGGAAGTAAAACATAAAACTTATCACAAACGCCACATTTGAAGTGATGGTAGCCCAAGCATTGACCACAATAACAACAGTATCCAAAGACATGGACATTCTTTTAATCACCGGGGACAAACACAGATAAATCAAACTTCTTGAGAAGAACATACAACAAAATCCGAAGATAGAATAACTGATTCTGACGTTATTGAAGTTCTTCTCATGCATCAGGATGAAAATAGCAAGATGCACGCAGTAGGCATACATTAACAGATCAATCAAAAGGTGGGACATGTTGAAAAACTCCTGGATTGCTTCATTTGCATCTTGGGAGAAGAAATTTTTGTATCTGTACAATGGTAGGACCATACTGAACACAGCAACGTATGGTGAAGCACCAATGCAGATCGCAGCGTAGTATACACATACCATACTACACATAATGATCAAAAAGCAGCTCTTGGCATCATCATTGGTCAAACCAAGTGTACAGGCAAATATGCAACCAACAATGAGACCCATAGCCATTGCCAACACAGTCTCCACAGTGACAAATACCAGTAAACTGTTCCAACCGCCAATCTTACCATCAATATACATTTCCACAATTGTCATACAGAGTAACATGGTACCAATATATTCTCCTTTGGATAACCGGTTCAACTTAATGAAACTTTTGTTCTTCAATGAGTAGGAAAGTGGGTCTGGTTGACTGGAGCACGTGGACACTCCAAAAATATACATCCGGAAGTATGACCAGTTTAAAGGTGTTAGCATGAATAGTATATACCCGTTCAATATACCAGTACAAATAATCAGTACAGAGGTAACAAAGGCATAAGGTAGCACTTTTTGGAATTGACTTTTATCACATTGGAAACACACGCTTGCGATGTGTACCGGGAGGTAGTAGATCATATAAGCTGCTGGTGCCACCAGGTGTTGATTGCTCTTAGTTGAAAAACAGAAGAAATGGTGATTGTGGAAGGCGTAGTAGGTGATTAGGTTCAGAATGATTGCCGCCATGATGATCAGTAGCTTCAGGGGTAGACATGGGAAGATCAACTGGAGGAAGAGGCTTAAACCGTAGACAGATCCCAGGATGATTGATACTCTGGTTAATTGAAGTCGGTCATCGTAGGTTGTAAAGTTGGGGAAGCTTAATTCCAGTGAAGCAGCTGTTTTAATGAGGCTTAAAAATAGTAGGATGAGATAATGTCGAGAGCGGACCATTTTTACTAATGGCTTGCTGATATTTATTTTATTACTGTTGGTTTCACAACTATTTCTGTTACTATGGAAACATATTTCGAGTATAGATCGCAGTTGTTTAAAACATTAATATCGCATCTCACAGAGGAAAAAGAATTTTAGATTACAGTTTTCATCGTCCCACAAACGGCCGTAGAGATGATTATAGTACACGCAGTGTTGTGAGTCTTGCAAGTTATCTGGTTGTCCATTAGCCCAATATTGGAATGAGAATGGAGTGCCGGTGGTTACCCATGAGAAGAAACCTTCAATAGCAAGGTCGTTTCCGCCTGTCCATACTTTTTGATTGCTTAAACCTACAAGAGACATATGTAATTGATTTTTGTGATTGGTGTTTTGGAATTTATTTCATTTACCCGCGCTTTGGATGACTCTAAGTGCTTCAAAATTGTCTTGCGCTGATTCAATGGCGGCGAACTCCATCCCATACAAATGGCATGATTGTAGAGCATCGTGCCAATTCTTTTGGTCGTAGGTAACAATGTGGAACTTTTTGAAGCCGGAGTTTATGGCACGGGTTCCTTTAATGGCTGCTAAACAAAATTATTTATTAACAAACGTAAACAAATGAATATAAATGGAAACTCTCTCAGTTAAAATCCATTTATAAGTTATAAATGTTGCACAATATTATCACCACCACCCAAGTATTCTTGAACAAACGTATAATTTTATAATTGAGGTAAAGTGTTTACCACTGCTGTTTGAGGGGAATGATTGAACCCCTGCAATTGCCAGCAGGACCAAAATTGGTAACAGTTGTAGAATAACTTGTTGACGCATATTTAATAACAAAGTTCAGGAGAATGATTTTGTCTGTTATATTCCCCAAACTATTTATATTATGCTAACAACGCGTTCAAGTTAAGGCTTATTTATTAATCCTATAATTTGGGTGTATTAAAGCAATGACGTGTTCTGAATTTATAATTGTGCAAATTATTTCACAGATTAGTTTAATTGTAGGATTAAAGTGGTGCTAGTTTCAAGCTGATTTTGTATAAATTATGTTTCACTAAAACTATAAATTAAGATTTCACGTGGAAATGAAATAAATTAAGTAATCTGCTTGTAATATTCTAGGTTTATTGCATTAACAACATAGTATCCTTTATTCTTTATCAAAAATTAGCAGAGATTGCTCCAAAGACGAAATAATGTAAATCAATCTATTATATAATAGTGAATCGCAAAATCTGTTGGTAAACGCATAACTCAACATCGTCTAGACCAATTTGGCATATTATATTTTTCAAATGTTTGTTAAACTCCAAGGATAGTTTTTCTTCTTCTTCTTCTGTGGCTCTACAGCCCATTTCGGGCCTTGGCTTCCTTCAGCTTTTGCCGCCATTCATCTCGGTTCTTGGAGACTACCCGCCAGTTCCTACAGCGGAGTAGATTTTTCGTGTAAGTCCATGTGTTTTTGCTGTTGTCGTCTTTTGAGGTTATGATCTGTCGGTGTCCGAGGCATTGTTGAAGGTTTCGTAGTATAGGGATTTTTATAGGGATGGGTTACTAGCCCATCGCCTAACCCTCCTCCTTAATCCGGGCTTGGGACCGGCCGGGGGTTCGTCGGGTTATTTAAATCACCCGTCTCTTCTCCAGGCGGAGTTAAAGGATAGTTTTTACGGCGAGATAATTCGAATAATTGCCAGAAAACCCATAAAGATTGCTCTTTTCTACAGCATAAAAGTTGGTATTGAGATTCAATCCTAGTTATAGATAAATAGTTGAATCCGAGATAACGCGCTGAAGTGTATTATTAGCAATTCTTTATATAATAAATTTCTTTAAAATAAAATTGCGAATCTTATTGATAGAATTGACACATACTATGTCTAGAACAAGAGAGTAAAAATGAATAACATTTTTATTAAACACCGGTGCGATGTCACGGGCAAAGGCTAGATTTTTCAGAAATATTTTCTTGCGGTGCAAGTATTAAGTCTAGTTTCATATTATCAAAGTGGTTTCGTTTCATCTATCAAATAATAAATTTTTGTTTATATTCGGTTTGAAACATTCATGTTGAAGGTTGTCGCATAAGTGACTGAAAGGATCAAATATCAAAGAGAATGCATTTGTAATTACTTGACAAACCGGAAAAGGCGTGTCGGAGGATGTCGCCGAAACGTACCGCTATCCGCCAGGGGACGTCCAAGACCGTCACAATCTACAACAGCGCCGGTAAACGCGATCGCAAAATGGCCGGCAACGCTTACGAGCAGACGCGCAATAGTGCAGAGAATTGGGAATTTCATTTCAAAATGGCCGATATTGAAACTATTAAGGGGATCATCAAAACTAAAAATATTGTATGAACATAACAAATACTCGTAATAACAATACTTCTTAAGATAAAAGATAATATTTATATTTTAACAGAATGGAGTTCCGTTAATTATTGGCGCTGCTGTTCTTAATCAAAAAGAAACTTTACAGACGTTACTTAAACATGGATACAATATTAACGAAACAGACAAAGTATATTTATTAATAATTTCAAGATTTTTAAACCACTTCTGATTCTTTTCAGAATAACTTAACACCGTTAGTTTGGGCTGTAAAACTAAAACACCTTGATATGATTCAATCTTTACTCGAAAATAATGCTGATTCTTCAATTCGACCACAAAATGGCGACGATTTGGCGTGCATTGCATTAAGCAGCTCATTCTGGGACGAACAATCCTTTTTAACACTCTTTAACTATCTAAAGAAATTTAATTCCGTGGACGTGAATGCTATCAACAAAAATGGCTTGAGTCTTTTACATCTTGCCGTGCGTCGAGAGTGGAACTCTTTAGTCGATGTACTCATTCAAAACGAGGTTAAGATAATACTAATAATAATATATGTAAATTTAATATTTTCTGATGGTTTTAGAGTAATGTAAACATTGCTACGACTAATGGTGTTACTCCTCTCATGCTAGCAAGTTATCGCAATGATTTTACAATCGTCACTCGTCTTTTAAATCGTGGAGCTGCAGTAAAACGCAGAAATACTGATGGTTTTACGGCATTATGCTATGCTTTCTCGTCGGTGATTACCAAAGAACTACAGCCACCATTTTTAGTGGTTGATAAGTTGCAGATTGAACTGGCCAAGCTAAAAATTGATTTATCAATATATTTAAAGGTAATCACTTTATAAAGTTAAAGAATATTTTCTAATAGTGATATTTATTAGGAAAGAGTAAAATTAATGTTGAATTTTTCTAAAAACCGCCCAAATGATCAACCATCCCCAGAACAAATGATGTCACACATCTGCATCTTTATTCTAAAAAACGTCGAAAACGGTTTTGAATTAATGGCGGAAGTTCAAATAGGAAAAGCAATTAAACAAGCAATGGAAAAGTTTCTTGATGACAAAATTAACCTAAAATTACCCCTAGTGGTAATGAATGTGATATTAAAACATTTGTCTTTCACACAGAACGTGGAAAATTTAGTATTGAAAGAATTCATAGATGGCGAATGTTTTGATCTTTGTTTAAAGGTTATGCGTTTGTATGTTTCTTCAACAATTAAGTATTAAATTATTACTTTAAGCATATTAAATTCCAGATATGAAGAAGACGCGATGTTATTGCAACTTGCAGTGACGCCTATAATAATCTTCAGCGGAAGTTACGCAGTCGCACAACGTTGGTACGAAGTAATAAAACGTGACATTTCACGATACATATCAAAATATGAAGATTGCATGCATTTGATTGATGGAACACCTGAACAAATTGCTTTTGTTAGTATTTATAATACGTATAGGTTATTATTTTATTTTATTTGTTTGTGATTGTTATATCTCTAGATCCGTGAACGTTTAGTTGACTTTAAATGTAATATATGCAACATTCAACACACCGATCTACCCGAGTTGGTAGTCATAACCTCTGACAAAGATGTCAAACCTGTTCCTTGTTCGAAGAAAGCCAAACGACGAACAAAAGCTCTCAAAGCTAAACTGTCAAAAATCAAAACTTCCGAATTGACTGTGCGGTTCAATAGTATTCCTATTGTTACAAGTCAACAGAGAGTAGTTGAAGTTGAGCGAACCAATCTTGTGTGTGATATGACTTCTGAGGAAGAAATCCTGTGCGCGAACGCTATCAAAATGGCGGTGAGTCTTCTAGATGAAGACAGTGCATCCGAAACATCGGTAGTTTCACCTGCATCTGGTTCTAGACGTGGTTACAAAGATCTATTTAAAACTTCCATTACACATACGAATGACGCGTGTGGTACAAGCAAAATGGCTGAAAACAATGATAACAGGCCTAAAGACACTAATGAAAACAGTTGGCAGAACAAAATACGTAACCTACCTTTCCAAAACACAAAAATATACAAATCTCCAATGAGTCCTAATGATTTTAATCCTCTACAATGCAACCTACAAAATGGCGACGTTGATGCCATTATTAAATATTTAGAAAACATATTAGCGACGATTCTAGCTCGATACAAAGCTGCTTGGGATTTTGATATAGGCGCTGATGTATCCGAAAATGAATATGAGTGGTTTTTACCATGTGTTGAAACCGAAATTGAAGCAATTCACAGTTTGGAAAAGGAACAACTTAGATTAGTTTATCGAGAGTTTCATACTTTGACGAGAAACGTGAAAGATTCCTATGATAACAATCCAGATGCTTGTTTGAAGATTTTACGTGATTTAGAAAGGTACCTGTTGACTTATCCGGTTCGAGGGGTGACGGTGGTTGACAGCGTCGCTCCTCTTGAACTTGTCAAAGTCAATGTTACAATGCCAGTGGATTTCGAGGAGAAATTAATACCATACATGTCTAGCGTACTGGCTGGTGAAATCGAAGAAGATCCTGAGGTACAGATTAAATTTAAAGAGCATTTAACACCAAATACTGAACTTAATAGTATGGGTGACTATGCGTACCTCAACGAAATGAATTCTCATTTAGTTACGCATTCACAACCATCTCAGAGTATAGCGCATGCGTCAACGCATAGCAACATCCATGGTTATACAAATTCTTCATCACAAAGAATGTTATCAGTAGCAGGATCATCTACTTATAGCCATTGGGATACTGACGATGACGTTGAATCATTAACAAACAATCCAATCCTTGCGCAATGTTGTTTTAAAGGTTGTCATGCTATTGACTACTCAGATCAGGATAAATCTTCGAAATGGTGTGCGATATTACGTAATTTAGAGGTGGAGGAAGGACAAGTTTTTCTGAATGGTAGTATTCGTCTATCAAACATGCAGAAACGTAAATCGCACTGTCTATCATTAAATGGTAACTTTGTTGGAATGGAAGTTGGTTTAACGGCTGATAATAAACCGATTGCGGTTAAGATCATGTCCAAAAGTGACCCTTGCGCCATTTTATTGAAAAGTCAAGTGGACCCATTACTTAAATTAAAACATAAGTATATTTTGCCATATCATACATGCAAGTATGATAATAATTTATTGCTACTTGCTACGCCACTGTGTGAATATAACCTTGGACAATACGTGTTGAAAATGCGGCAACCACAATCACTTATTTGTAAGGTTAATGTCATTCGCCAATTGTTACACGGATTGATGTATTTACATAATCAAGAAGAACCTATTGTGCATGGAAATTTAAAACCAAGTAACATTTTGATTGATATTAATGGCACAGTAAAAGTTGCCGAATTTGGTATTTACAAGGTATATTCACTACTTTAACTTAAACATAAAAATAATTTAAATTTATTGTAGGCAAAGTTAAAAGTTAAAAATTTACCAGAATCCACAATTATCTGGTTTGCTACTGAATTATACAGTATGTATAAAAGTGGTTCACCATTAACCTGCACCTGCGCGTCGGACATTCAAGTAGCTGGTATGTTAGTACATTTTACCAACAATGGTGGCGCTCATCCATTCGGTAGAACAGTGCCGGATATCCTCGCACATTTACTTGATGGCACCGTGGAGATGATTAACAATGATATGGAACTCTACGATATGTTGTCGTGGATGTTAATGAATGATCCAGCTGACCGACCGACGATTAACCAGGTTATGTCGTAAGTATTACAATATAACCTTAAAATAAACATTACTAATATATTCCGAGTAGGCACATATTTTTCTGGTCTTCACAAAAGAAGTGGACGTATGTTCTAACATGTTCTGGTTACGGTATAATGAATACAAATCCATTGGATGTTGAAACCCTGCACTCGTCTTTGGATAAAATCGCAGAGAAAGAAAATATCAGCGGAAATTGTTGGGTGACGACAGTAAAGAAACAATATCCGGAAATAAGTTTGGCAGACGCATCTGATACTCCCTCTGGCTTACTGCGGTTTATTAAAGACGTCGTCGAAAATAAGCTGGCAAGTGCCACGTCTGAGAAAGATCTATGTTTGAAAGATTTTATTTTGAATACGTTTCCGCATTTTGTTTTGGCTTTGTACAGAATGATTGAGAACTCTGAATGGTCGGATCATAAGGTATTTATGCCTTTTCATAACAGCATCGATTAAAAAATTGCAAATGGTACTTACAAGAAATCAAATTTAAAAAGTTCAAGATATTTTATTCTACGTGTATTAATTTTTAACACTTAACAAATTTTTGATATACATTTTCATTTTTTGGTGATTTTTTATTCCATAGCCATGTCTAATTCGGATAAAATGTACGATGCGCAGAATTGATAATTTTCGTTTAGCATTTCCAATCCACAAACATCTGGGTAAAGTTCACCATCTAGAATACTGGAAAATGGCGTATTCTTGAGTAGATTGCCCAAATCCGAAAAGTAGGTTTCGGGATTTTCGATTCGGTTGTTGGAGACGTCATTCTTGATATGTTCGGAAAGTATTGAAGCAAGTTCTTTGTTTTCGTCGGCTCTGGCGTTTCCAGTGACGGCAAACACTACGGCGAATAGTAAAACAAACAGGAAACTAGACTTCAGAAGCGCCATTTTGAATTTTGTATTAAATTGTAGATGTAGACCAGTTGAAGAGTAAGACGCTTATAGAAAATTTGCTTAAAACATGAAAAAATATAAAATTTTGCGAGACTAATCAGTAAAAGTAGGATTATACCGAATTAAGGCGGTTATTAACAATTTGCTGATTAAACAATTAAAATTTAAAACCGAGGTGACCTAAATGAGAAAAATAGTCGAAATAAGAATTATAATTATGCAATTTGTCGTAAAAATCGCAAGTTCCCTGTCCATTATTAATTAAAATGGAGCAATAGAAAAGTACATTAATATTAAGGATATTAATGTCAAGGTCCTTGAAGGTCATTACATTTTTATCGTAATTATCTGCGTTTATTTACATGATACGTACGTAAAACCTTAATTTTTTTTTATCTTATCGTTGAATATTTAATTAAACTTAACAAAATTTGACATAAAACCGAACATAAAATAAAAACAAAATGGCCGCATTATCAACGTGTTTCTCTTTTAGTTAATTTTTAGTTTTGTTGATTATAGTTTAAAAAACGACGCCCTTAAACAATTCTGCGGTTTCGTAGATTTCGTTGACATTTTCTGACAAAATCTCCTTCACCTGATCGAAACAGGTCCATGCTTGCGCCATTGACGTACATTTTTCATTAAGCAGTTCCCGCACGTGATCAGCTGGAATTCCCTGCATATTCTTGGTGATTTTCTGAATCAAATGCGCTATTTTGGGATTCTGGAAAGATATTAGTTTCGTCGCCACTTCGACCATTTCCATCCATCCCGGAGAATTTTCTCCTTCATCTTCATCGCTTACAGGCGCAGTGAAGACAATTCCGAATGAAATAAAAGTTACAAAGAGGACGATGAATAATCGTGACATTGTTTACGGAAATTTAAACCTACAATTTAAAAGAATTAAGGTAAAGTAAAGAGAAATATTAAAGGATTATTTGATTGTAAAGCCTTACGTTTCTTTCGAAGAGTGATTTAAAAATGATAATATCATTTGCGTTAGCACAAAAATTAAGTTTTATGACGTAGGACATGATTTATGAGAATTCAACTCAACAAATAGTTAAATATTTATTTTTTGATATTTTTTAACTTAGTTGTACGTCAGTAATGTACATTTATTACGTAAATGGATATTAACACATTTTAATAACATTTTTGTAGGAACTTTGCAGTTTTATTGATGGTTTTAACTTTATTAATAACTGAGAAATCAAACCCACGAATTTGATATTTATGTTATAAAAAAGTTGGAGATGTTCGCGAATCGTCAACAGTAATATTCAAATCCAAGAATCGAAGAATAAATAAATATTGCATGATGGAATCGCGCGAACGAAGCTTTTTACCCTGCAGAAAACTGTAGCTTCTTTGTGCGCTCAGGGACGCACTTTTTAATGTACCCAAAGCGCGTGCGCCGCATCGTCATATCCGCGCGAGATGCCAAAAACGAAAATTTGTCTCCGCGCTTGCAACGGTCTAACGCGCACGTTTTTTTCACGCAAAATTCGTATAAACATCAACACAGCATAAGCAGTTGAATAAAATCTGATTTGTTGTGGTTTATAAGTTTAGTGTTTCATGATGGAAGAGATGGAGATTAAACCAAGCGATAGAGGCAATTATCTCATAGAGAAAATGTTAAATGTGAGTACATTTAAAATTCCACGTTTCGCAGTATAAAAAAAAATTGTACATATGGTTCAATTTTGTTTATTACATTTATTACAGTGTCCTGACCGTGGAATTGAACTGAAAGCCTGCATGGAAGAAATATGTGTGCACATTCAATCTCTCAAGAACTATTCTGGAGACATCAATAACCTCCAGTATTTTAGCATCTTATACATTGAAAAATTACTTGATGTCTACAACCATAAACAAATGCAGACATTTCTTTCACCTTTATTGGTAAATCAGGTATATATTTAAATTTTTATAGTTTTATTTTTCTTGGTGTGCTTATAGGACATATTTAAATTCCATATTAATTCTGAAATGATTCATGCAATTGGTGAGCATCTTTTTTCCTACTTGGACAGTCAACTTCATGACTTGAAGAAAGAACAATTATTGCTTTTTTATTTGCAAATGCTACATATAGCACAAACTGTAAAAAACATTGAGGCACATACAATTTTTCCTATAAGTGAAATGATCCTGTAAGTTTTACACATTAAAAAAGTACTTGATTTCTTTTGAATTTATTAAAAACTATATATTTCTAGGTATAAATTCATGGATCATATCTTAGTTTGCAAGAATGTGCTACTTCAAAAGTTGGAGTTGAAGATTTTTCATTTATTGTTACCATCATTGGACCAATGTGTTGCTCAGACATTTTTTCCTGGTAAAAGATTGTTGCAAACTGCGTTGCAAACATTTAAAAACACTGAATTTAATTTTGGTGTCACAACTTTTATAAACTGCTTAGCAAATGCGCAGAATGATAGAATTGTATCTCTTGAGACAATGTATATAACAATAGCGGGCAAACAGGTATGATATAAGCATTTATCATATGTTAGTCTATAAAATTTTATAATAACTAACTTTAGTATGGAAGAAATCAAGAAAACGAGCGCACATATATTGACTTCGACTGCGCACGTCGTACAGTCACCTTACGACTTCTAACACAAGGAATGAAAATGCAGCCTGTTTCAATACGCATCAAGAATACCGATATTGATGCCGTCTTTTCAAAAGAGTAAGAAAATAATTGTTTTATTTTTCTATGGCGCCTGATAAGTAATTTTGTTGGTATTTAGATTTATAAGACTAGACGCCGCTGAAGTTTTGATAATCTTAAAAGAACCGCTTCTTATAAAATTTCTTAATCACAGAGTAAAGAATTTAAAATTTCGCTTCAATACACAATATCTTCAGGAACTTACTGTTTATAAGAGCAACAGTTTTTTAAACTTCTTCTTTGGCGACTTAAAGGTACTCATTTTCAATATTTTTATTTATTATTTGTGTAACTCGAACAATTCGAAAGGTTTTTCAAAAAGCGGGAGAAACTGAGATGCAAGAACGTTCGGATGTGTCTAAACTGCAATCGATGTCATCCGCGGGACATCACTTGAGGGGTCCTTCCGGTTGTGAGCAAACATCATCTTTAACTAGTGTGACTGAAGGTTACACTACTAAAGTGGACACGGTCTTAAGCACCTCGCAAATGCACACAATTATAAGCTTATCTTCCGAGGCAAATATAAGTTATTCGGGGTTTATGGTTCCATGCGCATCTACTCCAGATAGATGCGAGAATAAGAAACTCGACGATACTACTCGAATGGAAAATGATTCCAGTACTTCAATTTATATGGAAACAATGTTGCAAGAAGCAAATCTTTCTGAAACTATGGAGCCATCACGCATTACTGTGCTTTCGAATGTTACTATTACGCCTAACGTTGAACAAAGTACAACATTAGTTGGCTTAGTCGAATCTGATACGGTGAATAACAGTGAATTACCGGCAGAGAAACCAACATCTCAAAATTTATCATCACTAAATTCTCATATCTTAAAAAGTCTTCCATCGCTTAATTCAGAAGTTAACGAAGACTTTTGTTCACCAGAAATGAGTATTGCAATTGAGGGGAATCTAAATAATTCTATTCGAGGTAATGCTACAAAAGATTTCACGCGGACTCAGAAAACCACTTCGCCGATATGTTACCAAAAAGCTCCTAGTACTCAACATAAAACTACCGAGAATGAAAGTCTAAGTGTAACATTTATAAGTGATGAAATCTCCAGCATTTATAAATCACCTGAACAGTTTTCAACTGCTTCTATGACAGGAATGGTACCGGAGCAAATGAATAATGAGGATTTGTTAAGTTCTGATAATAGTGGAAATCAAATTTATCAAGTTCTCACAGATTTAAGAAGCCCGGTAACGTTGAAGTCTCATGTCTCAGTTGGCTTGGGTTCAGATAACTTCACTGATGAAACAGATAAAGATACCGATGATTGCAAAATGATTTCAGATGAATTTTATTCGGGGGGTGATGAAACATTGATCATTGGTAATAATAATGATAAAGAAGTAGTTGTTGATGATAATAATATGCTTCATGACACGGAAAACACTTTTTATTCAGTAACGAGTTTCATTGATGAGGGTCAGGGTGATACAACTGCCGTATTGCAAGAAATGCCGCAGTTGAGTACAGAAATGACACATTCACAGAGTTTTGACTCGCATTCTTTAATTAGTGAAAGTTTGTCAGCTACTAAACCATACAATACCGTAATTGATCAGAATGAATTGGAAATGAATGGAACTAACGTTGGAAGTGGATATTTTTATGTAAGTGACTTGGGTGTTGATGAACACAACAATAACTTATCTTACGAAGACACAAGAGAAATTAATTCGAATATTGTGTATGAAGAACACGTTTCTGACTCAACTTATTTATTAATTGAGCCAGAAACTGCTGAATCAAACAAGATGTTAGACATAATGAAACCAAAACAATGCAATGTTCAAGTTAATATGCAGAAAATACTGAGTGATGGATTGGATGCAAGTGTATATACTGACTTGGATTTGGTTTTGTCGCCAACCACAATCGAAAATGAAACGCACGCTTCCAACAGGTCTCATTCTGTGTTGACTGATAAGCAATGTTTCATGACTAACCGTTTTCATAGAGGTGCATCAGAAGAATATTTGATGGTTGGATCAGTTGCATCTGAAGAAATATCGCGCAATTCGGATAAATTATCAGCTTTAGATAGAAATATAGATCAAAGCGATATCGATATGGAGATGAGTCATGAAATTGAAAGGGATATCTCCCGCACAGAAGAAGTTCACGACCCAACCTACGTTGATTATAACATGGATGTGGCGTCTTCTGTTACATCTGCGAATTTATTGAGTCATGTTGAATGTAATTCCGCCATAAATGCGCAGAATACTGATATACAAGTTTCACGTCCATTGGAGAGGTTTCAATCCGATGTACCATATTTATTTGAGACTGATTCCGATGATTTAGCAACTAAAGCCTTAAATGCTACTTTCAAAAGTAAGGACGTCATTGAAGAACCAACATGTTTTCCGGCTAATTTTCAAAGAATGGAAGTAACTACTACTAGTCATATATTATCTGAAGGCCATGTTAGAAGTGAATTGTTCGATAATTCTCCGAATTGCTTAAATCAGGATCAAGTACCAATTCTTGAGCAGACGGAAGCTGCCATTCTTTCTCAAGAGTGTAGACACACGTCATCAACTTCATCTCATGAGCTCATACCTACTGATGTAAATACAATGGATAACTCAAATGAAAATACAGTTTATTTAGAACTAGAAGTTCCGTTGATAGGTTCCGAAGTTATTGACACTGATCAAATTGCAATTAGTGAAGATGCCACTGCAATGGAATGTGAAATGGAGGTTTTAGTAACACCAACGCCTTCCAAATCGATACCACAATCATCTATCACTGCACCAGCGTCTTGTGCTTCTTCAAGTATGCAATTAGATACAGAACAGTTGCCAAATGTCTCGGAACATTCTGTGCTCATGGATAATGTTAATTCTGAAGCGGTATTATTTAATAAAAACGTGACACCTACGGAGGCCGATGGATATGTAACTCAAGAAGTTGCAACTATCGAAAATGAGATAGAGATGTTAGAAAATTCTCCACAATTGCTATCACAATCGACTAAAAATGTACCACCTTCTTTAAATACCCATGGCGATTCGGATTCTACTCATCATGTGTTGATAGCTTCACCCCTGCCCAAAGAAGTTGCACATGAAATCACAAAGAAAAAGATGGATGATACTCTTACTGCACATGCTACAGGTAACACAGAATTGCAAGAATCACTGCCGAGGCTGATTTTAGAAGATTGTGAATCACAAAATTTATCGTCATTTATTTTGTTACCACCTGAAAGAATGGAAAATTTTGGTGGAGAATCTGTGTTAAATGATGAAGATTCTCCAAGAAACCTCGGTAAAAACGTAGAAAATGAGCCAAAAACTGTTGTTAATGGTGCATCTGAACATGAATTATTAGAAACTCCATCAAACTTAGTTTCTCCGGTTTCCAAAATTGCATCACCATGTCGGGGTTTTAAAAGTGCTCAAATAGAATCAGAATCAAACTCTCTTAATTTGTTAGATACTGTTTTGAAAGATAATACTAATATAGTACCTGAAGCAAAACCATCTTCTTTAACTGAAGAGGAACCGCTTCGCGATTGTGATAAAACTGTTGATGTAATCCCATCAAAAGTTATTGAAGTCACCCCGATAAATGATTGTGAAGAGGAGATGTTAGAAACCACATCGCGATTCTTTAAACCAAAGACACTTTTAAATATCGAACAAGAGCAATGTATTCAACGATCTTCACCAATTTTACAATCTCAACAAAATGAGTATACTTCTCGAGATTTATCATCGGAATTAACCAGAAAAAGAAAGAGAAAGCACACATCAAAACATACCAAAGCATATAAAGCTAAAAAACTTAAAATTTTGCACCATGTACAAGAAAACACTGAAAATGAAAATATTTCGCCCACATCAGATACATCACCTTTATTTGTTTTCAACGAGGAGAAACAACCGAAAGAAACCACTGCTAATATTTCGAATACTAAAACGACTTCTCTCCGGTGGAGGAAGACATTCAAGACAAATTTGAATTATCAGCGGACGAACAAGCACTGATTATGGACGCGTTGAAATCTCAAATTGTAGTTCCAACACCAAACAACGAAAACGGCATTGCAACCTCTGCAGTACCGCCAGTATCTGAACCAATAACCGCGGAAAATCCTAAAATTCCTGAGAATCACACACCATCATTGTATTCAGACGCAAGTGCATCTCATTCTCAGGATAAATCAAAACCTTCGGAAGAAGAAGAGTGTTTAAAGCCTTCACGACCAGTAAGCCGGGAATCAGTAGCAATGTCAATTTGCTCCGTTGTAGAACCGTCAAGAGATGAAGAACAGCCGAGTATTTCAGCACCTGTGGAAAGCGTTCAACAATCTTCAGAACAAACTTCTGAACCGTTGCCGAGTTTCAAATTACCAACATCTGAAACGGTTCCATTTGTCCCATATCAAATTACTCCAGCAAGAAAGCAAACAGCTATTCAATCAATGATGCGCATTCGCGAATATTTTGCGGGCCACTCTGGGCCTCCACGACTTCGTGGGCGACCATCGTTTAGACCATTGCCTGAAAATGCTCAAAATGAACTTTTACAGAATGGTGAGTTATTAAAAGTTAGTATTTATTAATTGTTAAATTTCGTATTTTTAGTGCGTTCCATTAAGTATGAAATATTGAAAACAATCTTGAAGATGGACGACGAATAATAAGCCAAATGCGGAATTTTATTAACTCTAAGGAAAACGTTTTTATGAGAAGGTATTATTTATTTATTTATTTTGAGAATTTATGTTTATTTTTTGAAGTTTTATTCTGTTAACCAAGTTAACTATATTTTAATGTAGATTTTACGTTTTAACTGATAACTAATAAATATTTGGATACGTGGAGTATTCATAGAAACAAATCGAATGTAAACAATTTTATTTTTATGTAATATGTAATATCTACACATATTCCGTGAAATCAACAAAAATTGCAGCTTCATTGTAAGAAAAGAAAGGAAATCTATGCACAGAAGAGCAAAACAACAATGCATCGATGTATGCAAATGTGACACATAGAAACACACCGACGTCCATCCATTTTACACTCTTGTACCCCCTCTAGACACATGATTATATTAATAGTCATCACCTCTCGAGACAACCTCCTTGCATGTGGGCCGCAGCATAATGGTATGCTCGAACTGAGCAGTGTAGCAACCTTTAACGTCGCAGAGCGGAGGGTAAGCATCGACAACACCTTTGTCGCACAGGTCCTTCAAAGCCATCTGGTACTTTGTGGCTCCAGCACGGTCCAACCACCGCTTGCAGAAAGCAAGTGTCGAGAAATTCTTATTGATCACATTCAATAACGATTTAGATGATTGCAAACTAAACATTTAAAGAAAAATTCAGTGGTTTGTAGTTATTTTTTAGTTAACTCAGAATGTACTTACCGTAATGGAACATAGGGCATGTCATAATTCTTCATGTAATGCGAGCAGTCCATATCGTCATGGACTACACCTCTTCCAGTGGAACCGAAGGTTTCAATCGCGTAAAACTCGTTCTCTTCCATGACAGTTGCCTCACCACCTTTTACAATCGGTACAGTTTTGCCAGCGTGAATTCCTAAACGCGAAGTTATTTTAATATCGATAATATTTTTAGTAAAATTGAATTTTCTTACTATATGGAGCTATTGAATGCCCGTTCAGATTTCTAATTGATTTCACTTGATAAGTCTTTCCATCAAGCTCAACCTCATAACTCTCCATGACTTCTTGAATGGCGGCGCCAATCTCGCACAATTGTACGTCAATGCCCGCCTCGCGGATACCTGTATTGGTCGCATCGCGTACTGCTTCTACCAATTTATCATACTTCGGATTGAAGGTGAGTGTGAACGCACAGTCAATGATGCGGCCATTGATGTGTGTACCAAAGTCGATCTTTGTTACGTCGTCGTACTCCAAGACGGTTGGATCACCTGCGTTTGGCGTGTAATGCGCTGCGCAATGATTTCGCGAGCACCCTGTAGGGAAAGCCAAACCGGCGTTCAGACCGTTTTCTGCGATTAGCTTACGCGCGGTGTTTTCCAACTCCTCACAGATTTGAATCATTGTCATGCCTGGTTTCACCCAGCGTTGAATGTGTTGCCTAGTCTGAGGAATTGAAACGTTTTTTGAGGATAAAATGATTTATAATTGACGTTATTGATATATTTACCTGTCTGTGAGCTTCAGCAGCTAATCTAACTTCATTATAGATATCATTGTGCATTCTATCCATGGTTTTCTTCTCCTCAGAAGTCATTCTATTTGCAGCAACTCTATCATCTTTCCCCTTGCCATATTCCATAATTTGACCAATGGGAAATACTCCATCAGGAAACAAATCAACTATGGGCACACTGGGTGGGTCAGTCTGTGTTGGTTTGCCACCCTTCTTCTTCTTCCTTTTCTTCTTCTTATCAGCACTGCCTTCAGTCACCTCACCATCCTTATCTGTCTCAGTAACTTTGTCACCTTTGCCTGCATCAGCGTTGTTTTTTTTCGCGTCCGGTGCGATATTCTCAACTCCTTCGGTGGCATCCTTAGTGGCGTCAGCAGCTGTACAATAGATAATAAAATAGTTAACATATTGACTCTAGATCAAATATAGAAGTAGTTTTGAGGCTATTTTAAAATAACGGCACGTGTGAAATTCCGGCTGAGAGATTGTGCGATATTTACGTAACGTACCGGCTTTATTCTTCTTTTTCTTTTTCTTCTTCTTTTTGGCAGCCTCGCCTTCAGCCCCTGGATTCGCCGCCTCGTCGACAATATCGTCTTCGCGCGTTTCTTCCGCGTTCTCCTCAATTTTCACGTCTGTTTTTAAGCCCGCCATCTTTCAGAAAAATGTAAATCTGAGGCGTTCGAGACAAAAACGGAATAGAGTGACAGAGGAAGATTTCGAACAGTGCTACCAACAGCAAAGTATTTTTTAAATACTCAAAAATTATATAAAATTGTAAATTTCAAAACAACCCTAGTAAATAATAGTAAAACAAAACGATGACACAATATTTTTGTTTCTATTTATTTTTAAGAGATCTTGTTAAGAGACTTAATTTTAAAAATATTACAAACATGACAAAATTTATTAATTATTCGACAATAAATCTTAAGACATTACAATCTAAACTTAATTTTAATTAATAAATTACACATCTAGTATAGCCTAGTATTACAAGAAAGAGCTCATAACTATTTTGTAAACAATTTTTTATGAAATTTGACCCTGCCAATGTAATGTCAGATCGTGAAATCACACGTGAAAATATAGGGTTAGATTAACATAAGCAGTGATCAACAAATTTGTATTTTGTTTCTGTTTACAAAGAAACAACTGTGAATTTCTGAAACAAAACTAAACATCTGTTTATAAATATAAACTAACAATGGATCTGTGGAATACTAAATATTTAGAGCCCCCAGCATCAAGTTCTTGCAAATTAAAGAACCAAGAAATAAGTGAGTTCACAACTTTGCTTTTAATACCAACTTAAAACAATAATAAACTATTATTAAATTTAGATTTACATGAACTAAATGGACTTATGCATGATGCACTCAACGTTTTCTCAAGTCAAATGTTCCTTGACATAGAATGCAAAATGTTGCACACTATAATAAAAGTCAACAAACTGAAATTTCGCACCACGATCGGATTCAAACACCTGCAGAAATTGAACCGATGCATGCGAATCTACCATGAAGTTGATTACAAGTGTTTAATATCTTGGTTTATTGACTTATTACCAAGACAATATGAATATGACACCTACTTTCCAAGTAGAAACATGTTTGATTACTTTCTTGTAAGATCTCAAGGTATTGCCAAACTAATTGTGAGAGTATTAGAGTGTGCCAAGCAAGTTTACATCCATTTTATGGATATAATCAAACTAGGACATTTCATAGGCCTGGGAATAGTAATAATTGCAGTTCAAGCAAGAATATTCATCATTTGCAGATACTTATTAAAATGCATTTCACATCTTTATGATACAATTTATGCTCTTAGACATAAAATTCCAAATATTAAGACTGATTGGCTTCCTGATAACTATAACTTGCCTCAGGAGTTACTTCCATGGCTGGATATTGATTGGGCTTTCAAAGAATATGTTATTGAGCTCAAAGGGAAAAACAGAGATCTCTTCAGCATTGATATCTTTGATGATGAAGATGATGTTGAATTCTGTAAAGAATATAAGATTGTTGATGGTGAAGATGATGAAGACATCCAAATTGTCAATGAATATTTTAATCTTGTTGATAGTGATGATGAAAGCATGAGAATCAATGATGAGGTTGACGATGAACTGCAAATTATTAATGATGAGGTGAGAACTGTATTCTTTGATAGGAAGATCAAGGAAGAGATACAATCTCAAGTTATTAATCTTGATGATGAGATTGGGGAGCCTGTTGAGTTGAATGCTAAAGTTGAAGAAGTTAAACAAAAATTAAATGCGATTAATACATTGGATGCGACTGAGAAATTCATCAAGGATGGAAATCACAATTATTTCCGGTCCTTAGGAATGGTGAGGTATAATCATTTGTTGAATATGGTTCAGATGTATAAAATGGAGGCGTCGACCGCGAGGACAACGAAAAAGGAAAAAAAGAAGATGTTCAAAGAGGTAAAAGAGAAGATTATTCAATTAGTACAAAATGATGAGACGCTATAAACAAAAAATAGATTGTTTTATTTAAAAGAAGTAATTGTTGTACTATTTTGTTATTTAAATTTAAACACAGCAAGTTTTGTAGATTTCTTTGAAGTCTTTTTGCACTCACATTTGTGATTAATATTCTTTGTAAAACACAACGCGTTTCGTTCAGCTTCTAATTGAGTTTTTCTCGATGTAAGTTGATCTAATTCAAATTGAATATTACGTACTGCACTGTTCACTTCGTCCAGTTTCTTCGCTAGTTCAACTTGACACTCCCAAGTTGATAATAAATTGTCGAGTCTGTTTAAAAAATCATTTCTGCAAAGATTATAAGAGTTTATACTTATTTATCAAAAATTATCAGTTTTTGCTTACTCTGTAGACGTGAGGAATTGTTTTAAAACGCGCATCTCGTCATTGCATGAATCTTTGTTTTGACATTTACTTTGTTCTTTTAATAACGCCCGCGTTTCCATGTATTTTGTTTTTAATATTCCAATCTGCTCTTGATACTGAAGGAAATTGTTCTCTAGTTCTTTTTCTTCTTTCAATCCAAGCATATATGTCTCTGATAGTCGCATATTTTCAGCAGCGAGAGCTTTTATTTGATTAGTAAGATCAGCATTACCACTTTGCATTTCAATATAATGTGATTTCATGAATTTTAACTTGTAATCCAGGTGATTCTTCCTGTCATGCACTTCTGCAAAGAGTGAATTGCCTCTACTTTCATCATCAAGTGGTTTGGATGTTTTGCTTTGTTTTTCGGCTTGCACAAGCGATATTTCTGCTTGGAGTTCACCAATAGATTCTTTGATATTTTGGAGTTCTTCATTTGTGTATTGAATAGTGTCTTCAAGACATGTTATTTCTTCTTGTTCTTCCTAAGAATTAGAAAAAAGAAGAATAAGAAATAGAAAAATTAGGAAACTCTTATTAATGAATTACACCTTTTAAGTTGAGCTGTTAACATTACCTTAATTTTGAGTTGTAAACCTTGGTTTTCTTTAGTTTTCTTATCAATTTGCAGTTGTAATTCTTCAATTTCTTCTAATACTCTAACAATTTCTTCATCAATATTTTCTTTAGTGTTCTCACTATCTATATTTTGAGTTTCATTCAATGCAACTTGTTTCAATAACTTTAACTGCTCTTCACAGTTAACAATATCTTCATTTGTACTAGCAAGTGCTTGTTGAAGACTATTAAATTTGTCATTATAGTTACCCTGCAAGATTCTTTTGTGATCTTTTGTTGCTTGTATTGCTGCTGTTAGTTTTTTGCAATCTGGATCTTCTTCATTTGCCATAAACTCAATTTGTTCATTATATTCCAACTGAAGTGCGGATATCCGTATAATGGAAAATTGAATATTATGCAATTCCTGTTTATTTGCTTCAATTTGGTTTTCATCACGTTCTGGTTGAGGTCGAAGTGATGCTAGTTCTGTTTCTAGATAATCTATTGAGCAGTTGTCCAAATCTTCAGTAGACATGATGTGATATAAATGTGAATGTTATTGAGTTTTAATTCAATAGTAGAATTAATTTGCAGAAACAAATTGAAAACATCAATATAACCTTTGAGTATGTAACGGTCTTAATAGTTAAACATTTGTGCGATAGATGGTGCTATGTGTACCTAAGTTAGTACTTTTATTCGTTGTTGACTACAGTTTGCTCACGGCTCTTGTGAGTGGATTTACATTTATTAGGGAATATCAGCATTCCATGGTATTAATATTTTAGTTTATTTATACGTGTTGAAACTGCCAAAATCAAAATCTGTGTGAGTTGTATGGTTTTCCTCCACAGAAGAGATTCCAGAAACAACTTGGGCAATGAGTAATGTGAGTACTTATTTATTTATAATATTTTATTTTGATATAAATTTTCGTTTTTACACTTAGTCATACATATTCCTAGCAGAAACTAATTATAATTACACATAATATTTAAAGATACATACAAATTTTTACATTTTTATTCATTTTTTAAGTCTTTCTTTATATTCGCTTGATATGTGTTGCATTTTTTTGCTTATCGCCATCGAATGTCTTATCGAACATACGCGATAATACCACATGCAATCGGTTTACCTGCGGAGCCAGTGTTTACACTGTCCGCTGTTCCTCCCCGCCCATAGTCGTCTTCTTTCTCGGTGATAACCAACGCTCTACCAACTACACCTCGTGGTCCGTTAAGATTCATTAAATGATCGACTAAGCTAACATCGGCAATGCCGTCGTCGTTGGCTTCCACATTTCCTAAATCACCAACGTGTCTTTCAGGATCACGCGGACCGCCATGATGTAACTGAAAGTTTAAATTGTTTAGTAGATTTTTTTATTATTTGCAAACCTTGAAACGCTATTGGCTTGTGTAAATATTAGATTAATTTTAATGTTTTGCGGACAATGACAACGCTAAAATTATTCAAGCGGAATGAAAGTCATTTGCAATAAAGTTGCAACCAACTACATGGACGCACGGCATATATTTCAAATTAAAAAAACATAATTCACTGCAATTTTGAAGAAATTGTTACTTATTTACTCTTAATCAGTTTCCAGCAAGTCATTAAGTTGAGTAATCATATAACAAATGACAAACGATGTCAGATACTCCTTCAAATCTAAAAATTGCATCAACATTCCGGAAATCATATGTTTGCATTTTTAATTGTATGCAAATTTAAGGATTAATACGTTGTTGTGACTTATGACATGTTTACCTACATAAAAATGTAATTATTTTGTGTTTTTTATTAAAAATAATTAAACTTATTGCTGATTCAATGTAAATTAGTTTTTTTTGTCAGAACAAAAGGCAATAAATTGCAATAAATGTAAATTTAACTTAAAAGAGTTGAAAAAGAGACGTATAACTGATCGAAACACATTCTTTCGGTAATTCAATTCAATTTTTTTTTGAGAATTAACAATTAAAATGTGTCATACCCTTGAAAATTTAAATTTCGACGTGTTTTACGCTATAAGTAAGGCGTAAAAATTATAATTTTGTTTTGTATTCATTTGAATCATAATCTAATACGTTTATCACGTTTAAAGTAATTTCTTATGAAGTTTAATTTATTTTGATTTTATGGTTGCATTAAAGATTAATTATAATTATTTCCTCCCGACATAGCCATGAATATGAGACATAAAAACTTCTAGTTATCTTAAAATAATGTTAATGCGTTTTGCATTTTATCATTCGCAAGACGTTAATCGTTGTATTTACGGTTGGAATTTATTTGTAGCGTAAGTTATGGTCGTAAATTTGTGGTGATCATATGATATGACATGATTGAGACGATTTGAAAGTCAAGTTCGTCTAATATGAGCAATTGAATTTAATAACTATTATAACTAATTAATTCAATATATGAAGTAATCAAAGTTGGTAAATAAATTTCATTGTCAGTCATACAAGTGTGTAAATGAGTTAATTAATCTGCGGCGACGCACATAAACTGATGAAGGAAGAGCATTGCAAAATCCTTGAGTTTCATGAACGCATCTTAAAACTTTAATTAGTATTTAATATATACAAAAAACAATCAAAATAATTAAGGTTTTAATAAAAATAAATTTTAAAACTTTTTCTTTTAAAATCAATATTATTCTGTTTTCTATTGATTTATATTAATTAAATTTATCGGTAAAGTACTAATAATACTATCGTAATCAACTATTATTATGTATTTTTGTATTTTTTTTTGCAATTAATTTTTCACTTAAAACTTGATTCAAAATTAATTTATGAAAAGACACAATTATGGTTATTTGTTGCAGCTACCGAAATAATGCGATCATCGATGATTATAACAATTAAGAGTAATGAGGTAATCTTTACCTATTTAATTCTTTCAATTAATAATTATGAATCAATAAATTCTTATTACTGCAAAATGTATTGAATATAAACACGACGTAAAATCTATAAATAATTTAATAGCTGGAATAATAACTTAACAATATCAAACGTGCAAATTTTAATTTGAATTAAGATTACGTATATGTTTACTATAATATATTCTAAAGTACTTTTGATGTAATAAAATTATGCAAAACTTACCAAATAAGGGTTGTAATGTTCGCCTAACTTTTCGCATCCGTTGCGCATATCACCTGCTTGATGAATGTGCATTCCGTGTTTACCAGTTGGCAATCCTGTTATATTTCCGCGGATTATCACAGGACCTGCTGGTGGGTGACGCTGCACAAAGTGCAATTCTCCTTTAACAGGACTCTCGCCTTCTCCTTGTAATAAAACTAAAGCCTGCACTGATCTTAAGTCCTAAACATCAAATTTAAATGAAAAAAACTTATACATTTTCCATTTATTTATATTTTTAATACTTTGACTTACATAATTAAATGGTTCCATATAAACTTCGTACAATTCGCTTTGTATATTTGGTATCGCTGCATAGGGTTTAATCACCAACGGCTTCCGCAACCCTCCGTAGGGGTACAGCGCTCTCTGCGCACGCGTCTGTGTTTTACCATCCGCATTTGCCGGTAGTAAACCCGATGGATGCATTTGTATTCTTGTTATCGTCGATGTAGACATTAAATCAAACAAACACACCACACATAGTACTCCGAATATTATTTTATCCCTCGACATTATTATAACTTATTGTTTTGCACACTGTGTCGGCGAAAAAATCAAAACCCAAGTGATCGTCAAATTCGCGCCGCGGATTATAAATATGAGAAGACGACGGTAGGCGATGCGCCGCGCCACCGCCACCATTACCCAACTTAAGTCATGTTGACTTACAACCGCAGTTAAAGTATTGGCAAGTACAAAAAAACAAGTACATGTTCAGTAAATTACACATGTTTCAACATACAACATGCACAAAATCAAGGATGAAACGAGAAACAATGAAAGGACTATTGAATTATTGAATTAAGTAAAAGCTAAACTAAATGACAAGATGTAATTTATATAATTGTAGGAAATGGTTACGTGTGACATTCTTTATTTCCTCATTGTTTTACTTTACTATTCAGAATCTAGTACAATCTGTTTATTTTATTTGTATAGATACACAACAAAAATTATTAGTAATTAGTGATTAATTTATGGTTAAATCCGGTGTTTTCTCGAACTTTTTATCTTTTACTCATCGTCGCAGCAGACTTAATCACTCGCATTCTTTCTGGATTCTTGATTCGACCTCGAAATTTCAATCGCACATGCAAACATCAACCAAACACATTAATCGTAAAGTTATAAGTACTCATTTATGATCGGTATGCATACATTTGTTTTTCTAAAATTAAAGTACCAAGTATGGAATAAACGCATTATTAATTGTTTATGTATAAATCATTTTAGATTTATTACTTGTAAATCATTGATTTTTGTTGATATTCTAAAAATGTGAGTTTATACTTTTTTTCTACTTCCACTTATAAAGCGCTAGTTTTTCAACGGCATTTAGACATAAAAGTGATACTTTAAACACCGACGGCCATGGTCGTGAGTAAAGTACCTACTTTTCTTACGGGTATTATCTACGGGGCGGACCTTACACCTGGGCAATTTGCACTTAAAATTGGAAATAGAGTGAAAGTAGAAAATATAACGTAAGCATCACGTGGCTAAGCGTTGTTAAACACACGATTGATTAAACACTCTCTAAACGCTCGCTCTCAATGAATCTCGTGAGTAAAGTCCACATTTAACCACTTGATACTTAATAAATATACTAGTTTAATTTCCCATATGATTAATATTATGTCAATATTACTACGCTTATAGTTTATAACGTCTGAAAAGTAAATAAAACCAGAGACAATTTTTTAAGTACAAGATAATTAAAAATTATGGCGCTACTAATAAAATAATTGACAACGTTTTGAATTCTCATAATCAAATTATTAGGTACTATAGAATTTGTACTTCAGGTGGGTATCATCATAATACGCAACCGGATATTATCGCAAGAATTAATTACTATTTAAAAATAAAGTTTAAGTATATTGTCAATGCTACTATGCCACTAAAATAAACTTAAGTAGCCATAAGTTGATTCAAGTACATTTAAGAACACTTAACTGGAATCTATCATAACCCAACTTAAAACACCCTGTAGATAATGACCAAACCTGTAATAATCTAATAATAACTTGGTTCAATTGAATAAAAATTGATGCGCAAAGGACGAATGCGAAGTAAAGTTACAAATCGAATTAATAACAACAATAAAGCATGCGCGAGAGGCAAAACACGCACACGCATGCTCATTACTCACAAGTATTCACTCGATGATAGGCAATAATAACACATATAACGTAGGTAAGTCGTAACGTTTTGTAATACTCGATAACATTATTAACAATTCAATAGGTTCAAATTTCGGATTATTAATGATGCGTGATTCAGTTTGAAATTTTGATTTCCTGATACGTTTTCACGATTTACTAATTTTACACGTTCAATAATAATGATAGGTATGAACAAAAATTATTTATTAATATATTTTGATTTTACTATTGACCTCTTGTAGTTTATTGACAGATTAATCGATTAAAAAATAAGTAAAATATCAAGTTTCTTATTCAATTCAATTTTTTATTTCTTTTCGGGATTTATTTAAATGTCTTTTATTCAAAATATGTTATAAATAACTGTATACGTGTAATCTAATATATAGTATCGGATTGTGCATGAGTTTACACGAAAATTACATCAATATTTATCTGATGAATCAATACTTTGAATGCCTTCCCACAGGGATCACGCAAACTGTAAAATAATGGCCATTCAAAGATTAGAGACAAACATAAACCTAAATAATTAAATATCTAAATATAAATAAATTATAAAAAAATTAACGGAGAAAAGGCGCTTTCAATAAGCTCATAAATCAATTTGTGTGTGTGTAAAAGTTTGCACACACGAATAAATTAAATTTAAATTATGAATCACCCGAAAGTTACGGTAAATTAAATTATTATTCAAGAAAAACGTTGAAAACAAACTCATTTGAACCTCGTTTAAATAATTAAAGTTATCTTTTATCATTATTTTGTGGTGGTTTTTCATCTTCTTCGTCTTCTTCTGCTTCTTCGTGTAAAGTATACAATTGTGGTGTGTCATATTCGGACTCATCTTCAGTTCTATCATAAGTTTTATCCGTATAACCATTAAAATAATCATCAGTGTATTTATCGTTATTGTTTTCGAGAAAATTCGCAAACTCCGATTGCAGGTCAATCAAACGTTCCGATGGTAGTTTGGCATTCGTTAAAGCCTCCACCACTTCATCATTACCCTATTGTAACAGTAACAATCAATTAATTAATTAATTAATTAACTATGTAAATGTATGTTACGGTATAATGAACGTCAATGGCCGTCTCACAGCCAAATTCGCTTGACTCCGACATCAGATTGATATGACACGTCGGCTGGATCTTCTTCAATGCGTCAACGACTTTCTGCGGGTCGAGGGTCATGGAGCTCACCTTAAACAAGCCGTAAACGTGATTATAAACTTGTCGAAAATATTTGAGCATTTTTTTGTTACTTTATCAATAGTAGCGCGCAATTGTTCATCTTTATCGTGAAGAAGTTTGGTTAGGACGTGCCTGACCTTGGTCTGACTTTGACTCTGCAACCGAAAGTCCTCCATTGTTTCCATTAATTTATCAGTGGCGAACTGGGCAGCGCGTAGTGCGTGTTCTTTTTCTTTGTCGATTGCTAGACTTTTTAGGACTTGCTCATGACGATGCAGCTCAAACTTTTTTTCGAGGTTATTAACGATTGATTCCTGCCGAATGGCGTCCATGCGTAGTCGGTTATTTGATAATCGTAATACTTTGTTCTCCCTTTCTATTTCCTATGAATAAGTTTATACTTATTTATATAAAGATATCTTGTGAGAATTATGAGTTGTGTGTTACCATGAGTTTATTATTAATTTCATTTTTCTCTTGTTTGGACACTTTTATTTCTTTTTGCAAATGAAAAATTTGATCTGTTTTCGCAGACATTTCTTTTTCCAGTTTATCAATTGTTTCTGCTTGATTAGCGATGTTAGTTTTACTTTCATCCAGTAATTTGCTGTAATAAATGAATAAAGATAAGTAAGTGGATAATAAATTAGGTAAAAAGCGTTGTTTTTATTTCTATTGAACAAATGAGTAATTAAATAACAGTAAACACATTCACGGTGTGCGTACGTAGATTCGTGTCAAGTGCAAACGTTGACATCACTATCGTGCTTAAACCTAAATGACTAATGACAAAGCAATTTTAATAATTTTTTTTTTGCAAAAACACACAAATTAAATGTCAGAAAAGATTTGACAGTGTGTTTTTGACACTAGACAGTTTTCAAGACGGCTCACGTAAAATATCTTATTTTATATTAATTTGTTAATAAAAATTTACTCACGATAAATTAGCGATTTCGTTTTGCAATGCCGTTTTAGCTTGAGTATCTTCAGCAATTTGACTTTTATTCTTTTTCCGCATTTCGCGCACACTCGTCACTAAAGCTGCGTAACGCCCTTTTACTTCCTCAATCTCTTTGCGCGCCATCTCCAATTGGTTCTTCTAAAATAACTCAATGAAAAATCAATAAGAATAAAAAAGCAATTTCGAAAATATTAAATTTAATAAAACAATATTACATTACGTATTATTAATCGTAATTTTGACTTCGATAGCTTTGATCAAATATTTTTATACACAATACCTGCTCCTGAGAAGGTGCTTGATCCGATTGATCCGCAGAACTCTCAACCACAGCCATGTCTGAGGTCATATCAATTAACTCTTGAATTCGACTGCTTTGTATTTTGATAACGGATGTAAGTTCACTGATGAGATTTTTTGCTTCGGCGGCATTTACAGTGTCCAAGTTATTTAGAGGTGATATCTCTGCTAATTGCATGTGAGCTGCAGTGACACTATAAAATATCATCAGATATTAGCTAATAGAAGTTAAACTAGATTATGGTAAATTACTTGTTCTCCAAAAGCATTTGATTGTCGTAGTCGTATTTTTGTAGAGCGTGAACCAACTTCTTGACTTTGGGATCGTTTTTTCCTACTTTAAGTAATGCTTGTCGGAGAATGTTTATCTGATCAAGTTGTTTCTGTTCTTTTTGACGACTACAAGAAACTTTACGAAGAAGATATTTGTTTTCTTGCATAAGTTTTGCTTTTAATGTAGATTCTTCACACGCCCATTCAGCGTTTTTTGCACAAGTTATACGCAATTCTTCAATTTCCTTTAAAATGATGCAAAAATAATTAAAAAATAGAAATGTTGCGAATGGGCAAAAGTAAATTGTTTACGCTTAGGTGATCTTGGATTTGTTTCTTGAATTCTTCAGTTCTTTGTGACGCTTGACTCTTGCTCAACTCTTCGTTGCTTTCGAATTTCTCGATCAGTGCCTTATTTGCCTTAAATCCATCCTCAGTACTCTTTTGCAATCCTTTTAATCTCTCTTCAGATAACGCCAACTCATTTCTTAGACTGTCACACACGTTTATCAGTTCCTCATTTTGACTTTTTTGTAATTCCAAACTTTCTTTCACTTCACTCAATTGTTCTTTCCCTGTTTTACAATTCTTGCATTCTTTTACTGAGTCATATAAAATACTCTCCAACATCTTTCTGTGTTGCATTTCAGTTTGAAAGCAAACACTCAAAAACTTTTTCTGTGCATCGGTTTGTTCCTGAAGTCCTTTTAAGGTATCACAACTATTTTGCATATTGATAAATTTATCTTTCCATTGTTCACTTATTCCCTTTGCGAGATTATGACTTTTCTTGAGATCTACAACAAGATTGCACAGATCGTTGAAGTCATGCGCAGACGCAGGGCAACTTCTGCTGATGATCTTCATTTTTGTGAGATTTGAGGCGTTTGCATCCGCTGGAGAAAGGTCACCTAATTCTTTTTCTATCTTTGGATCTGCGTTTGCTGTTGCTACAGTATCAGCGCTTCTGCTACGGGCTTTCGGGTTTGGTTTCGTGTGTGGAGATGACACAGATAGAAATGATTTATTTAAGGCACTATTAGAGTGTTTCTTTTTGCAACGACAAATTCCTTTTCTGCAAGAAAAAACGGTAATGATATAAAATATTTGTCTAATTATGAAATTTTACTTTTTCAGCGCCTTTTTATCCTTCTTTACATTCTCTTTTGGTGGTTCGGTAGTTTGTTTTTGTTGTGAAGGAATCCTAGGAAGAGGAAGACATAATTCGTCTTCTATTGGAACATTGTTTGGGGCTTCACAGTTATAAAATTTCACAGATGGTCTACCATGTTTACTTGTTGTTCCTTTATCAGACATTTTGTTTTTGTTCATCAGTGACGACTGAACACCCTCGTTAATCATTGCTATTTGTTTAACCATTCCTATTTGTTTGTCTTTGAGTTTCGAATTTTTGGTGTTTTCTGATTTCCGTGGCTGCTTAGAACTAAGCTGTAGCATTAAATTGATTTCAGTTTCCAGGCGTTCTAGACGATTTGTTATAGATGTCTGTTAAATTTAATTGTAATTATTAATATTATTATAAGAAGTGGGAAATGCAAGAGACCTGGGAGGCAGCTGAATTGTTTACTGCGCCGTTCTTCGTATTCAGTTCACTGGCTTTACCGTGTTTGCGCAGCTTATCATCCATTATTTGGTTGTTACATGTAAAAACTCCAATTTTACATTGTTAATTTCGAATTCTACCATAAAAGAGAGGTTGAGCAAGGCACTTTCATTGCAGTTTGTACGTTAAATTTCGAGCTTCAAATTCTGACTTGAATAAAATATGACAATTGACATTTTTATCAAATTTTTACTTAGGAACGATATTTTGTTAGAATTTGATAAAATATCAACTTGTATAATACGTTGTTTGTAATGTAACCATTTGATTTACGATTTTTTTTAACAAATTCACTAAATTTTTAGTTTTTGTATTTTTAATACACAAACTGCTGTGTTCTTCATTTAATCGTATTAAATAAGGACAGTCTACAATCATCTACAATCATCTAGGTCTGAAATAATGCAAAACTGTCTCTTTTTTTCCGTTGCCATATACAGAACGTTCGCGCCGTGAATGAAGTGGACAGGGTCGGCTTTATTTTGCAGTGTCAGTTACCAGGGTGGTACTTTTAAAGGGGGTTAATTTTTTTTCAAATTCGATTAATCTCAGCAAATATAATTATATATATTTACCTTATATTTATATTTATATTATTACTAGCTGACCCGGCAAACTTTGTTCTGCCTCGCTTTTCACGTGCAATTTCTTGTTCTTCTTCAGTCCTTTCATTCGCAATCCTTCGAATCCTAGTTGCATTACGGTTTTGTCGGATAAGATTTGATCGTTTTGGCCGCTGCATGTTGAGTGGGGAAGCTACGAAGCATCGCACAAAGAAGAGACGGAGAAAACTCGTCTAGTATCTTCCAAAAAAGTTTTCACTTCAAAAAGTATTAAAAAAAGTATCCTACACTTACTAAGTCTTATTCAAACAAACACATCAACCGGGCAACTTCAACCAACACGTACAAACCCACGCACGTCTATGCTTAAGGGGAAGCTACGAATCGCACAAAGAGGAGACGTTATTTGTGTGCTCTTTTTCTCCCGTAGGCTAAACCATATAAGCGAATATGTTTGTTTCCTTTTAGTGTCGTTTAGTGTTCTCTAAAAAAGTTTTCACTTCAAAAAGTATCCTAGTAACCTTCTCCAAACAAAAACATCAACCGTTCAATTTCAACCCACACGTACACACATACACACGTCTATGCTACGAAGCATCGCACAAAGAGGAGGATAATAGAAAACTTTGTATTTGCGTTCTCTTATTCTCCGGCAAGATAATCCATATACGCAAATATGTTTGTCTCTTTTTAGTGTCGTTTAGTGCCTTTTTGAAAACTTTTCACTTCAAAAAGTATCCTATTACCTTCTCCTGGCCCTAAGCTATCTCTCCACCAATTTTTAGCTAAATTGTATTAGCCGTTCTTTAGTTATAAAGGAGTTAACCAACACGACTTTTTTTATATATATAGAAGATCTATTTAATATATATTTTGCGCTGCGCGCTTGGGCCATGCGATTGTAAACTTGCCATAAATTGACATTCTGATTGTGTCTTGGAGTAGGTACCTGTGTTCTGAAGTTGTTACACTGAGACTTCTTTCCATAAAGGACTTATGTTTTTCAGCATTAGACCAACCTTTTGCACTTAGTAAATAGCATCTCTCTGAACAATTAAGTACCGAAATCATGTGCGGACTAGAGTCCGACCGAAACTGGTTTCTCAGCCGAAACCGAAACTGTAACTTAGATAAACATATTTAATTTATGTTTCTATGGTGCAATAAAATTATTTACAACCATATTAAGCAGTAAAGTGAAGAAATTAATGATAGATTGAAAATATTTGGTTTTGTGAATTTTCAGAACATAAATATGTTTGGTTGGTGATTCCCTCAAATCTCTTTCGTATGTCACTTCAAAATTAAACTACAGTAGAATCTTGATAACTCGAACCTTGTTAAGTCGTAATCCTCAGTAACTCGAAAAGATATGCTATTCCCTTCCGCTGAACCCCGAACGACGCACTAACTCGAATTTTTTAGACCCAGTAACTCGAACAATAAGTTATTTCCCTGTGAGGCATTACTCGTACATTTTAATACTCAGTAACTCGAACTGCAAATACTACCTCAGTAAGTCGAAGTTCATAAAATTTTATGATTTCTTACTCGAGATTCCCGGAGCTCAAAACTCGGGATTCCCGGAGCTTAAAACTCGTGGCAATAAAATCAAAAAGGAATGTTCGGGGCTCGGGGCCTCTTATCTATTGTTTTTGTTTTGCACACGTGCAAGGAATGAATTCATTCAATAAACTTTCTAATTTCTAAGAAACACAGATGTTATGTTTCTTCATTTTTGGTCACTTTTGGTTACTTGGCTCAGTCAGTACATTTTTGTTTGGCTGTTAACAAGCAACAACATGAGTACAATACAGCAATTGATACACTACGAACTTACATTGAAAGATGTAATGATATCGAGTACCTATCATATATTCGGTTCACTATATGAACTAGAAAAAATAATTGATAAAAAATCTGTAAATGGCTTGAATCAAACGAAGATCACAGATTTTTATCAATTATTTAAAACATACAGTGTAAGTTCATTCATTATAATTATGTACTTGACTCTCATTTTATGTTACCTAATGTAATTTGTCGTAATAAATGTTCTATGAAATTGTGCCTTTTTATGTCGAAATTTGATGAGTTACCTCTTCATATCTCGAAATTCTTGTTAAGTCGAAAACTTGCTATCTCGAATTTTTTTTGGTTTCCCTTGACATTCGAGTTATCAAGATTCTACTGTATAATAAAATTCATGAACACTGAGTTTCAGTGGGGAAAGTTTCAACCAATTTTTGGCCAAAACCGAAACTAGATTTCTTGGCCGAAACTGGCCGAAACCAAAATTTCGGTCGGTCTCTAGTATTTGGTAGTTGTGTAGCTTTAAGTCGAGAAGAAGGGGACTTCTCTAGAATTGTCAAATTAAATTCTCCATGGGGTTGTATTAGTTTATTGCAGAAGTTGTGTCTACCACATGGGCAAATTCGAAAATTTGATGGTGCATTTTTTTACTTAAAGGGTGAAATTTTTTAGTATAGATCATCCACATTTTTTTCTTTAAGTCCTTTATATTATCTAAGTAGAATTACTATTTATAACTGTTAACGTTCTCGAAGGCATCTTAAGGAACACAATTTTAATTGAAACGAATTCGAATAGTCCGTCGATAAATTTTTTATAATATAATTTCATAATTCTTGATTTGATTATATTTTGTATGATTAGCACACGGGAAACCTGCAAAACGATAATTTTTATGCTTCGATGTACCGATTTTTGGTAGTTTTAGGTGTCTACCGGCCGACCGATATGTCCTAGGGCAACGATTCTTTCATCAGATTGTAAGTATTAAATTTGTATATCATTTACATTCATAATTTGTGTAATTAGCACACGGGAAACCTACAAAAAGATCATTTTTGTGCTTCGATGTACTGATTTTTGGTAGTTTCAGGTATCCAGCGGGCGAACAAAATGTCCTAGGACAATGATTCTTTCATCAGATTGTAAGTATTAAATTTGTGTATCATTTACATTCACAATTTGTGTAATTAGCACACGGGAAACCTACAAAAAGATCATTTTTGTGCTTCGATTTCATCAGATTGTAAGTATTAAATTTGTATATCATTTACATTCATAATTTGTGTAATTAGCACACGGGAAACCTACAAAAGATAATTTTTGTGCCTCGTTGTACTGATTTTTGGTAGTTTTAGATGTCTAACGGGCAAGCGAAATGTCCTAGGACAACGATTCTTTCATCAGATTGTAAGTATTAAATTTGTATATCATTTACATTCATAATTTGTGTAATTAGCACACGGGAAACCTACAAAAAGATAATTTTTGTGCCTCGTTGTACTGATTTTTGGTAGTTTTAGATGTCTAACGGGCAAGCGAAATGTCCTAGGACAACGATTCTTTCATCAGATTGTAAGTATTAAATTTGTGTATCATTTACATTCACAATTTGTGTAATTAGCACACGGGAAACCTACAAAAAGATCATTTTTGTGCTTCGATGTACTGATTTTTGGTAGTTTTAGATGTCTAACGGGCAAGCGAAATGTCCTAGGACAACGATTCTTTCATCAGATTGTAAGTATTAAATTTGTATATCATTTACATTCATAATTTGTGTAATTAGCACACGGGAAACCTACAAAAGATAATTTTGTGCCTCGTTGTACTGATTTTTGGTAGTTTTAGATGTCTAACGGGCAAGCGAAATGTCCTAGGACAACAATTCTTTCATCAGATTGTAAGTATTAAATTTGTATATCATTTACATTCATAATTTGTGTAATTAGCACACGGAAACCTACAAAAGATAATTTTTGTGCCTCGTTGTACTGATTTTGGTAGTTTTAGATGTCTAACGGGCAAGCGAAATGTCCTAGGACAACGATTCTTTCATCAGATTGTAAGTATTAAATTTGTATATCATTTACATTCATAATTTGTGTAATTAGCACACGGGAAACCTACAAAAAGATCATTTTTGTGCTTCGATGTACTGATTTTTGGTAGTTTTAGATGTCTAACGGGCAAGCGAAATGTCCTAGGACAACGATTCTTTCATCAGATTGTAAGTATTAAATTTGTATATCATTTACATTCATAATTTGTGTAATTAGCACACGGGAAACCTACAAAAAGATAATTTTTGTGCCTCGTTGTACTGATTTTTGGTAGTTTTAGATGTCTAACGGGCAAGCGAAATGTCCTAGGACAACGATTCTTTCATCAGATTGTAAGTATTAAATTTGTATATCATTTACATTCATAATTTGTGTAATTAGCACACGGGAAACCTACAAAAGATCATTTTGTGCTTCGATGTACTGATTTTTGGTAGTTTTAGATGTCTAACGGGCAAGCGAAATGTCCTAGGACAACGATTCTTTCATCAGATTGTAAGTATTAAATTTGTATATCATTTACATTCATAATTTGTGTAATTAGCACACGGGAAACCTACAAAAGATAATTTTTGTGCCTCGTTGTACTGATTTTGGTAGTTTTAGATGTCTAACGGGCAAGCGAAATGTCCTAGGACAACAATTCTTTCATCAGATTGTAAGTATTAAATTTGTATATCATTTACATTCATAATTTGTGTAATTAGCACACGGGAAACCTACAAAAAGATAATTTTTGTGCCTCGTTGTA